TTCAATTGATACAAATTTTATTGAGAGTGCAATAGATCACATTCTAGCTTTGTCATAACGATGAAACATTATGTGGAATTATGGAATTCTCCTCTCTTGTTGCTATGAACTTTAGATGTATTCGTATGTTTTGATTTTGTCATTGAATGACATTTTATTTTCAATATACAAAATATATAAGTGCCGGGTGGACCAACAATAGGGTCTTAAAACTGCAATCCTACTTGTGTGCAACCATGTATATATTATCAAGTACGGAAGTATGTTTCCAATATTTAAACAATTAAAAAACAATTCAATCGCACTGGCAGTATGTTTCATATCATGCACACCAAAGCGGTTTTTCATTTGGAATATTTTCTTCTAAACACATATGGAGGCCAAATTTTGAAAAATTAAATATCGACGCGGCCTCATGCCCGCACAGCGGCTTCGTAAATTTGTGCGGCACTAGCGCATACCAAGCATTAGCATCTTTATATGTAACGTATATAAGATCTTGTTTCGAAATGCCGATAAAATTCACTATTTTGTCTATTTTTGTCTAATCTCCAATGAATTATTAATGCCGGTTAAGTGCCTAGAAGTTTTGCTATAAACTGCTTATCAGAATGACCCAGAATTTTCCATTTTTAACTCTGTAGGTGGATTAGTAAAATTACGTTAAGCACGTAAATTTCGACATAAAAGCCAAACTCGTCTGACTCTGTAGGCACGATCTTTAAACGGGCATGTTTAAAAAAAATTCAAAACAATTCGAAGGTTTTTTTTATGAAACAAACTAACTACAAATGTGCTATACTTCTTGGAAACCAAACACACCATTTTTGCAATATACCACTCTTGATTTTATTATAATTTCTGTGGCAAAAAATGTATAGTTGAATGACAATTTCTTCTATGTTGAATTTGACATTTTATTCCCGAGTCTTCATGTGTTCTGAAATTGTTTCAATCTCACGAAAACAGTCCAATTTCTAATCCCTTCAACCGCTATCAAGACTAAACATTTTTGTGGTACATGCAGCGGCGTCTTCAAAGCAATGCTTATCGTAGCTTTTATTTGAGCAAAAATATATTTTTTCAAAATCAATCATTTATACATATTGCTTCGTATTCGCCGTTAGTTAGTTTTTTAATCGATTTTAAAATTCAGCTGAACCTTCTCAAGCTTAACTCATAGTTCGACGTTGTTATTAGGGCAAGGTAATTTTTCAAATTGAATGAACGTATATTTACCTTTCCTCATAAAACAAAACCTCGGTTACAACAGTGGGTGTGAGATAAAAGGTAGAAAAAATTTAAAAATATGTCGAAGCAAATAATATTTACACCAGTAAACGTTTTTGTAAAAGTTGCGAATGGCTACCGTGCAAAGGGGAAAAGTACAACAATGGGTATGTGGAATTAATAGCATGCATACACTTATTTACACAGCCTTCTCTTTATGTGAACTTTTTATGTTATTTATTAGATGGGTACTCACTCCCGTAGTATGTGTACCAGGTTGGGGTTAAGCCATAATTTTGTTCCAATTTTCCTTATTTTAGTTCTATTACGAATTCGGGGACTGTCTGTGTTAGCCAAATATACCCCATGCTCATAGGTTTCAGTCGCTTTACACACCTTGATGTAAAGTAGGCGAACAAAATTAGTTGCATGCATGTAAATATTTTAAAACTGGAAAATTGTATTCAAAACTATTATTATCGCCAAAAGGTGAAGCAAAGGCCAAAATGAAATTTACAGCCCGGTTTTACTTTGACGAATTGCCTAAAATAGTAAAATTGTATTGAGTATACGATTGCTGAAATGTACACGCATATCCGGTATACTATATCGTTACTTGAGCACAAAATTATAGGTTTCGTCCATTTTCCCTAATCACAATGTAGCCTATTGGGATCACTTTGGGGGCAGACTGACTTATATGTTGTATATTATTATGGGTGAAATGCAGGCCTACAGCCAATACTCTGAAAAATGGCGTATTAACGTGAAACATTGAAGTAGACCCGAAGGCTTAAAAAACAGATAATATCGTTTTATCAACGTTGACAGCTCGTGTGATTAGTTGTACAATCAAATTTCAAAAAAAATTTCAGGTAAATAATTTTAAAGTCAAGTCCTAACACCGAAAATCGGATTTGGAATGAGTGTTCCGACGTACTGATTTGAAGTGGGATAACGTAAGGTCTGAACTTACTAAAATACAAGTTGGCTTGAAATTGCAATTCCATTTTGTTCTTACTGATAAGCCTCGTAACTTTAATTTAAAGTAAGAGTTTATATAACTGAATACCTGAATAAAGTGTGGTTCAATCAGATAAGATAGTGAAAAACCAAGTTTTTCGACAGACCACGAATATATACAACGATCGTATCACCTATTTTATTCACTATTTAAAACGGGTTCCTTTTTCGGCAAACATAACCAAAAATTTTAAGTCACATAATATAGTATTTGATTCATGGAATAGGCATAGAAACTGGCATACTCAAATTATAATGAGAAGATAGCGTCCTTGGTTTGTTTCAAAACTGTTTTCGGTTTCACAATTCCGGTTGCACAAACACCACCAACTGTTTTTAACTGAATATTCGAGATATCGGGACACACGGGCCAATATTCACTATGCCATTCATCTCGCAGATTTGAAATATCCTTAAGACTACAAACAGGTCACTGTCGTTCAAATTATTATCTACACAAAATTGGCTGTCACGGAAATGGAACTTGCGGCACTTGCTCGGAAAAGGAAATTTTATATCGACATTTTATTAATGTTGTCCCCGCTGAAATTTCCTACCGTTCTAATTAATCATTGCAGACAACTGAATATATCCCCCCAAAATATAATTAATTTGTGAACAAATACCGGAATCCCGCAAAACTACGCCAGTTGCAAGCACCATTTATTATTATTATTAATATTAAACGCTCAGAAGCGTAAAACCGACCAACACTCAAGAAGCATAAAATTAAGTAAATAAACATTGATTCAAAATGCATAATATGCCATTCGTTTGACGGAATCGTTGACCACATCCGTATTCCCGGGTGTAAAGTTTTGGCACCCACAGACTATACAGAAAACCGCCTCTTCCTCGCATTGGAAAAATTATGAACACTACCGAATACCTGGTACAAATACTTACCTTACAGAATAGTGCAAGCAAAAGTCTGCATAAGTAACTTTGAATAGTATATTTGACACCAAACAGTGCGGAACAAAATTTTGGTAAAATTGGCTCTACAGTGAAAGATAATATTTTTGGCAAGATTCTAAATATTTAAAAATTTGTTATATATTTGATATATTTTTGGGAAATGCATTACCTTTCTCGCATCTAAAAATTTTTAAATGGTAAAGTCACTTTTGGCAAAGGTATTGATGAATCAATTTATCGGCACACTTAAAGTAAATTGAATCTCGTATTTCATTTTAATGCATCTTAAATTTCTTTCAATACATTCTAAAGCGGTTTATATTGTGTAAAAAAATTCGATTCGCTTTAACAAACATTTTATCAACAGAATATTTCCGTGAATAAATCTCAGTAAAATTGCACATGTGTATAATATAAGCTATAACATTCATGTTAGAGTTTACTTATTTTTTTTAATTTTTCCCATTTACATCTGATTCGCGATAACGACTTTCACAATTATTTTACCACAAAAGTTGATGAATTTTCCGGTTTTCCGGAGTCTTGTGGAGTACAGAAAATTTTTGTCATTTTATACGTAAATTGGAGGCCGCAAAAGATATCATGGCTTCAAATATACTGTTATCTCATTTTCAAAAATAGCTGAAAACAACTTAAAACATCAGTTTAAAAAGACATTATTGATACGTGGAACGAAAAAGCAAAATACCGAATCCAATCAATTATAGCATAATTCATTTTGCCAAAAACGTAACCACTGACTCGATCTTGTGTGACGTCACAACGTAAAAAGTTGCGATCAACTGAAATATTAACGTAATTAACTCATTCTCTTTTCGACTACGTGGCCTGAATAACAGAATCCGGGTTATTTAAAACGTATTCTAGAGAAAACAAAACAACAGCTTTTGCACGAGCGTCCTAGATTTATGAGGCTTTTAGTTGTTACAATCGAACATTTGTAAAAAAAAAATACAAAATAAACATTTACCTCTATTGAAAACACGTTTTCCTGTTTTTCTGTTTATTATTGCTCGGAACGATAATCAAATTTCAATGTAGAGATTACGTTTGGGACTTGGTTGCATAAAGCAGAATTGAAGGTCATTGCGACAAGGTTGAGTTTATCTATGAGATTGAAATGAGCGAAGAAATATTCAGTTCGAACTTTCATTCTAATCCATTAATTTTGTATAGTTAATTACACACGCGCTGCCAAACATATAAACGCTATTTAATATTAATGAGTTATTTCAGCTTTCAGGCCTACTTCGGGGGTTCGAATAAATAATTAGCAAACACGTTCAGATTTCGAGATGTGACGACTTTCAATATGAAGGCAATTACCGACTGTATTCGATTCTTATATTGAAAACAAACAAAAAAGGCAATAAAATACAATAAAACCGGCTGTATTCAATTCGTATATCGCTCAATATAAACAACACAAATGAATGAATAAATACATATCAAATAAGCCACAGTAAATAAATCCATGTATACACGCTCTCATGGACAGGAGTTCCCAATAATTGAATCAAAAACAGCGAAATCGACCCTGTACGAATCGAATAAATATTCTAGAGAACGTTTCCATCTTTGAACACAGAAAACCCGAAATCAACAGATCCATAAATTGCTGGAAAAATTGATCTATATGTCTACTTTGTGTCTTTAATAGAATCTTATATCCGTCACAAAAGTATCTGAGAATCGAATAATGGTTTCAAAGCAATTTTTATAAACTCTTCAAGTAGAACTAAAAACGACCAATAAAAATATGTCAGACCTATGTATTTAAAATATAATATTATTCATTTTATTTTTAGTGGACCAACAGAAGAACAAAAAGAATGCGTTAAAAGTACCATAGTTGTTCTCAGTTTGATACTTGCTTTCCTGATATGCTGGTTACCTCACTTGCTCGAAACTGTTTTCAGCATGACCGGATTTTGGGCTGGGTATAACTATGCAAAGCAACGTTTTTTCTTGGAAAGTTTGGGGAAATGTATGTCTTACGCACATGCCTTCATCAACCCGTTTATATATACATTTGCTTCCCCTGTTTTCCGACGCAGCTTACGAAATTCATTATGTCAAAAAATAAGCCAGTGTAGAGAAGAAGGACACGTCTGTGGTCGTTCGATTGTCCGTCGTAAAAACACCGACAGACGCATGCTGAGAATACCTTTAGATACCGAATATGAAGATCAAACGATGCGAAGAATCAATGTCCGAAATTCCACACCTGGAGTGGTTAGTCCGAAGACAGAACATGCACCAATCGCGACTGGATTCGACTGTCATTCTATTACTCGTGTGACAGACGTGACAAGATTTGCGTCACCTGACCCTTGCAGCGAAAGACGTTTTACGCAGACTACACTGAACGCTGTTGATGAGACTGCAGAAGCCCAACACGATTTGTTGGCCAACGTGGAACAAAATACCCCCGATGAAAATGGCCACTGTACCAACCTGAATGGACAGTGGTCGTGATTTTTGTGATGAGTCAAAACTAAAATCGCAAAGACGTTTTCTGTGACTGCTGGAGCACAGAACAGTCGTACGGGAAAACAAGATTTCCTTCTCTCAAGTAAGTCTTATGAAATCGAACTTGGCGTAAACCATTTAAATTGCGCCAACAGAAAGGGAGTATATGAATGCCTGATACGGGCATACTCTGCGTACAGGGAATCGGTTGAAGGTTTGTATAGCACGAAACACAATGCAACATTGTCTACTATGACTCACCTACCTCAAACGAAATTATGGAAGTGAAAAAATTATTCGCAAGAGATTTTGCACGAATCCTTATCGTCCTTGAGTTCCATTTCTTATGTCGCAAAGTAAATTTTCTTTATTTGGGAAACGACCTTCAACCCTGGCGAGGTCGTTTCAAATTATATAGAGTAAACTTAAAATTAAATTGTGCGTGTTGACGTTTATGAAAAAGTAATAAAATATTCTTTTTCCACAAAACGACTGGATTTTTCTATGATTGGGTACTGCGCAGCATATCAGTCGTCAACAAAGTCTTACGTCCTGTTTTCCGAATTTAGTTTTTATGGCTGAACAAAACCGATTCCCGCGGTCAAATAAACATAAATGAACATGCAGTTACAGATCAAAAGCGAGATGATGTTGGTGAACCAAATTAAAAATCTTCCATTCGCTTGCCAAAACACGAAATAATGATATCTTAAACGTGTGAGAGTATTTCAACCATATAGTCAGCTGTAAAAAGGGTGAGGTCATATACCATCATAAGCAATGTTTGTTTGCGCTTTCTTAGGATGCAAAACATTCTACTTTTTGATTAATGGTCACGCTATTATTTATCCTAAATACAACAAAGTAGAAAAACCGTAAATCTTCCGATTCTTTTAAACAGCTAGTAAACTTAAATTGGCCCGTGCCAATTTGGAGACAGGTCGTGGAATCAGATGTTCTCTAAAAAATTATTTCCATTTATCGAATTTGTTTATTTTACGAATGAATGCTCGCACGGACAGTTGAGAAATGAGTTTTCACGATACTAACAGAAAAAAATGTCAAGGATTTCCTCGAGATTCAAGTAAATATTAGTATCTCATCCATTACCTTCATCCTATCGAGCAAAAAATCTCAGGTGCTATTTGATTTCCTTCAGTTTTCGTCGAAAGCACGCGGATATTACATAAATTCTATCAGTATCACCTACAGCCCTTTTTGTGGGTTGTTTTGTATATATGAGAATATAAATTTGAAAGTGGTGAAATAATCTGTTTTTACTAATTTATCATTTGAGTCATGTCAACAATGATAAAACTCATATCAACAGATAACAATCGCTTTAAAAGCATTCGTTTTGAGTTCTCGTTGAGACAGAAAAATGTGATGAAAATAGAAAGCATTAACATGTAGAAGAATGATTTCGATTTGTCAATACAAATCAAGGTATAGGGAAGGTCGCAGGGTACAACGCAATCTTTGTAAATCATTAAATTTCTTAATGTCGGGAAGGAAATAGTAAATAGGACTCGTATTCTTTCGTCTATGTACTGTTACCCAATGCATCCAACAAGTATGGTTACGTTCCATTAAGTTTATATTCTAGCATTGCTTACGGTGAAGTTGAGTAAATGATAGGAACATGTAAAAAATTCAATCGGATATCACACACAGGAAAGTATTCAGCTGTAAGAGTATATATGAAATGGTATAATATGTAAAACAGAAATACTCAAACAAATTGGCGCCATGGCGGTACTGGTATCGTCACCCTAAACATAAGGCATTCGTTGAGTAAAATAGCTTACCGAAATTAATGGATAAACGGCACCGGTAAACTCTGATGTAAAACAAGTATGATATTTGTAGTAGATTTGAAAATTTGATGTAATTCCAGGTGACGTTTTGATTTTGAAGTACTGAACCTTTGTTGTCGTTGAATGAACAGCGACCGAATGAACACCGCCAATAACAGCAATACGTGTCCAATTAAATGTTATGTCGGTACTGTGCAAATAAGGTGTAAATAATGCACAATAGTGCTATAAAGTTTTATTTCCCCGCGCCTCTAAAGCTTCAAATTTGTGAAAGTTGCATTATTTGTTCATGTATCCAATATTTAATTAAATTTTATATTTGCATATATAATCCAATTTGTTGGGCAAATGCATAATGCATAACGAATGTACCCGCTGTACACAGATTTTACAGTTTAATATGTCATCTTAATCCATATTGGTAGAAAGATAATCAATGCATGCAACAGGTAATTGTAATTTAAATAGCCGAACAAAAAAATGAGTTTTTTGTATCCGAAGAAAATGCCCGAGATGACCATTGATTGATTGACTAATTCAGGGGTGTCAAACTCGTGGGTTCCCGAGGGCCGCATTGCATTTTGGGAATTATACAGAGGACCGCAAGCAGTTTTTGATAATGTATACTTGAAGCATATTTTTAGATAGGTGTAGTTTGTGACATATATTGTGATACAGAAAAACAACATTAACTGCGCATTTGTTGGATGACATTGAATACACGATTTTGAAATAATATCTTGAACAATATATTTCGACTGAAAACTGATTCTGAATTTATCATTGTCAAATTTTCATATTCATCAATCTCGGTACTTCAATTGTTTTTCACATTTATTGATAATATTGATTTATTGATGACGGTCTTTTAAAATAAACGCTACGGGAGATAAATTTACGATGGCACAATGATTTTTAAAGAAATTGTACATTATAAAGATTATCTATAGGATGCCAGTTAACAGTTAAAATAAATAATTTCAGTAATGCAAAATATTACGTTTATCATTTCATGTATAGATCAGTAAACAAACAAATGACTGACTTTTTGGACAAGACATTTCCCGCCATATTTCCTACCCTTACGTGGCAAAAATTTTTTGAGTTATGATTGATATTGATTTTTAGTAACATAGGTAGTTGTGTAATTGTAATAATATACAAACACATAAAAATTTAATGTTTGAATTTTCTTTAAATTTGTCATATTGACTGCTGAGCTTATTCTGATAATGTCTACTTATATTGAATCTTTCATTGTACTGATGGAAATGTGACAAATTGAACAATGTGCTTTAGAATTTTAGGAGATGAAGAAATATTGCAACTCCCATTTTTCTTTAAAAATGCCACCTTCTTCATGTACTTTGCGTTTCATTTAAATTCTAAAGTTTTTTTTTGCAAGTATTTTTTTGCTAGCTTGAGATGTATCCATAATTGGGTCAAATTGAAAACAAAATATTTTCCAAAACTACCTTCAGTAAATTTCCGTTTTCTGTGTGAATAATCAGTTTCCCTTTAAAAGGTGTGAAAAATGTATTACATTTAGATAAAAAAAAAATGAACAAAATATTACAATTACAATAACAAATTATTATTGTTAAGCGTTCGAGGGCCGCATTCGAATTTCTCTGGGGCCGCAAGTTTGACACCCCTGGACTAAATGATTTTCGGTTGACAGTGTCATATAATATATTTTCAACTTATAGTAAAGGAAACAATGCTATGCTTGAATACATGGACATGAAGGTCAGCCAAAAAATACGGAATATAAGTTAAGTGTTATCATTCAATTAAAATAGAACAGCAAAATTTTTGATGAAATAACGAATCAGATGGGAATCAGGGAATTAAAAAAAGGGAATGGCCTTTTAGCAATTCCTGCCATCTCTTAGTACTGAAATTTTTTGTCAAAGTCGATTGGTCGTCATAAGTTGCGGACAAAGGTGAGTTTTTCACAACTACAAGACTTTGCAGAACTATACATATATATGTGTACACTCCATGTTTAATAACAGAGAAACACAATATATAAACTACTGGTTTTTCTGAAGCCGTGAGAGTATATACATCTAGAAATAATCATATTTACTTGGAGAGTCGGTTTGTTTCTACACGATCCACCGTTATTTTTGCACATCAATAATGCACAAATTTGAGCTTGTAACTCGATTTCAGGGACTTGAAAAATTATTTGAAATCAAAAATTTAATTGTCAAGGTACTAAAAAAGCCGCGTGAAATTTTATCTTGTCTTCTCGTTAGCTGATGTTTGGAAGAAGCTTTTGAAAATGTTGAAAACCCAATTGCTGCGCAGAGGACTACATTAATGCCAATGTTGGGGGGAATATAGCCACCTTTTTCTAATACTCTAAGTGATTCGAGTTATCTGAACAAAATAACTCGGGCTTGAATAACTACCATAGAGACTGGAATTTAATTTGGAGCCGGCCTTTGAATTGGAGAAAATGCACAGTAAAATAAAAGTTTCATATATCAATATGACTCATATTTGTTCATTTCACATTTGATTATAAAATTTACTATAATTCGGAATCGACTTGTGACTCGACTCAGCCATTACTCGACTTGTGACTCGTAAGTGCATTGACTCGACATAAATTGGGAGTCCAAGTTTAAATTGACTCGTACTCGGACTTGACTCGGCTGATCCATAACTCGACTCGGGTATTGACTTAGGATTTACTCGTTTCGGATGCCCAAAATGGCGGTTACATTTCTACTACTCGTAAAGGGTATAAAAGGAGATGATCCTTCAACTTTGCTTCTTCTGAATAGTCTTGAAAATATTCTATCGAAAGACTATGATGCAAGCATTTCAAAGCTCCACAAACAGAATCAATCTTTTTAAAAACTTTGGTTGCTTTTAAACAAATAACCAAGAACATATAACATTTTCCGTGAATTTATTTTATGCTACTTTGAAGCAAGCACATAGGTTTCTTCACAAAAGATTAAATTAAACGCCGATGGTGGAGGAATGACGAAACTCTATCTTTTATGTCGTATTTATAATATTTTTACACATAGAATACTTCCAATATTCACATATTTATTGTAATTGCTTGTTAGAAATTGAATAAGATGAGTACATGATGCATGAGTACAAGATGCATTGTTATGGTACTTTTAAACTGTGTACTAAGTAGCTCTATATTTTTTTATTTATTTTTTATTGAGGTTTTTATAAAATGAAACAATATTGCAATAAACAATATTCATAAAAACAATAACAGTAATTCATCATAATAAACATATATTGCATTTTTACTCTGATTATATTACAAGAATTCTCTATTTTTTGCTATGTTTGACAATTTATCCTTTTTTCAATGCTAATTCTCTCTCGTTCTCTCGGAAGCTCTATATTTCACTCAAACTTGTCTATTTTTACGAATGTTGCGCCACCAGGCGACAGTGATATGCCATGGCGTCGGACTAGTCCGATGAAGGCAGTACAGTATTCGGCTGCTGTGCAGTGGCGTAGCCAGCCCAAAATTTTGGGGGGGCCAAATTTGAAAATTTTAGAAATTATATTGGGTTTAAAACACCGTTCTTCAAGCGCCCGTTCTTCAAGCGCAAAACAACAACAGTTGGTCACCAAGCAAACTGATTCAATTACTCAGCTGGATTTTTGTGAATACAAAATCCATTAATAAACAATTTTTTATTTGAAACAACAAATATTAACAACGCAATTTGAATAAGTAAAATACATCGCCCCAATTAAAAGTCCATCCTTCGCTTCCCGCCAACTATGCTCGACACAACTCGATTAATTTTCTCCTCGGTGACCATTTCACGGTGACAGTGAAGCACACACAAATCAGAAAGGCGATTGGACGTCATTGATGAGCGCAGCCATGTCTTTACCCGTTTCATGCATGAGAAAGACCGCTCAGCCTCAACGGTGGTTGCTAGTAGCGTCATAACGATCTGTATTGCGGTGTACACGCTTGACGAGACAAGATGCCACAAAACTGGTGGATTAGAAATGGAATTCTTGAAAATTTTGGGGGGGGCCATGGCCCCTCTGGCCCCCCCTGGCTACGCCTATGCTGCTGTGTCCATATATTTGTCTGCTCTCTTGTTCTTGAACACAAAATGGGCATATGGATCGTTTTGTTATTCTTTTTGGTCTTTTTTTCTTGTTGTTACTGTATAAAAAAGCCCCTTTTATTAAGCAACTACTGATCCAATTGCTTCGAAATTCATTTCAGTAGTAAACGATTGTGTTTTTCGCTAGAAAGCTATTACTTTCATTTATATCAAAACGTGAAAATCGGATGCTTTTTGACGGTACGGGTAATGTAAAAAAGGTAAAGTGGACTACTACTATACTTTGTTTTTCGTGTCCATATATTTGAGCATCGCTTTCCAAATCATGGGTTGTAGGACTCTTTAATGTTTTCACTAGCACTCGTGGAATTGAGTGATTGTGTCATATCCAACATGATTTCTTTCCGTCTTTGTTTTACAGAGAAGGATCAGCACTTGCAACTGTTTTGTAATTTATTTCAATAAGCATTTGTATTAAATATATTTAAAACAGAAAATGAGAAACAATAACATTCCATGCATTTACCATCACTTAATAAAATCTTCGTCATTCAATATGGAACTTAATGTATGTTGTACATCCTGCTTGTTTATTCAGAACTTCAAACAATTTAAGTTGTGTCAGCAATGTTACATTACCGATGTTACATTAGAGTCTGTTAGACAATTCATATAACCCGTAGCATCTGAAAGCGGATGGTGAACCGGGATACAAGTTAATATCTATAGAACTTATACGGGGCTCCCGAAGTATGCGAACCAAGATGGCGGACATCGGAACGTAACATGGGTACTAGGTTAGGGTTAGGCCATAATTTTAGGTATAAATACCACGGGAGGCTCTTAGCTAGTCTTCGAACTGATAATAGGACTAAAATAAGGAAAATTGGAAAAAAATTATTGCCTAACCCTAACCTGTTACCCATGTTACGTTCCGATGTCCGCCATCTTGGTTCGCATACTTCGGGAGCACCACTTATACTCTATTGCAAGGATGGCGAACCGCCGACTTTGTGACCCATAACGTTTTTCCAATTACCAACCAAGTCCCGAATTCATGGAGAAATAGTGACATTTCAGTGATGAAAGTTGGTAATAAAGCAGGCCTTTGTTCGATTTAACAATAAGATAACCTACTGTGGTATGGTACGCAGCTACTGACAACGATTCTTATGACATAACAGTTGTATATGTTCCTTTTTCCCAACTTGTCTTGATACATCGCAGGTACATTTACCACAGGGGTAAAATGTTTTTGATTTTGTGGTTTACAAGAACTATATCCTAATTTGCAGCTTATCCTTTGTCCGTATACAATGACTTTTAAAAAACAACATTTCGTAGACTTAACGACTATAAAGATTTGAAATAATAATGGAGCAGGATAGTAGTGACCATAATAGGATCGAAGGTCGATCGAAAAAAATAATGCTCTCAGATTGGCATTCCCTTCTAAACTATTTTGAAACTTTGAAAAGATATGCCACTGTATTATAAACGCTTTTTGACAATTCATATGTATGCAAATCCAAGTTTTCGCACAAGAATTTTATAAAATTGAGTGCCAGAGATCGCACCAGTCCTGATATTCCACATTTATTGGCGCACGGACGCCGATGCCGGCGTCATCACTAGAGGCATCATTCACGGTTGTAGATGATTGCAATCCCCGCACGAGTGTCTCAGCGTCGTCCTACGTGTTTATGTTAATTGAACGTATTCGGTAGATTGGTTGAGCATAAATAATGAGAATGATCATAGTATCGGGCACTGCCAGTAATGGATACTGCATTCAACTCGCTCCCCTGTTGCTGGCAAAGCGAGGTTTGGTGATTTATGACAAGCACAACTATAAACAGTACGGGGAGGTGGAAGCACATCAGAGTCTTTGTCGCCTATTTCGACCTCTTCCTCTCTTGTCTTCAAGTAAGCTACGTAACCGGTAGACGCGGAGCATGTAACTCCTGTCGTAACGTAACCCTGTAAAAAGTGGACGAGTTTTTTTTCAAGTGAAAGATAGATCAATGCAATGAACTGACTAACAAAACAAGCTGAATGGACGACAGAGTATTTAATAGGTTTTTGTAAGGTGCCTACGTACTGTGTCTTAAATTTTATACGAACACTAATAAAGCGAATAATGCACTGAAACGCAATATCGATTAACAATTTGCAAGACTGATTACTCATTCTTCTTCCAATGCTTTAGCGTCTATAATACGACCGTGTTGTAACAATAATGAAGATGAGATGCCCACGAGTTTATTAGTAGATTTATGCTTATTTGAAGAAGTCAGACTTTTGATCAGACAAAACGTTGGAAGACATTTATATATATATATTGATAGTTTGCAGCAGCAATCTTAGGATAGGATAGGATTTACATATTTATCCCGGGGAGAGGAAAGCGATAATAAGGCTTAATCATATGGTGGACCACGGTCTCTCGTCCGGTTATCAATTCATGTCGGGTATCGGATTAGTTAGCCAGTTATTTGTTTTCAGATGCAGATTTGATTTCAGATTTTAATTTGATAAAATTTCTTGAATTAGATTTAGAGGAAGAAATAAATTTAAAGCTCACCTCTTCCGCAAAATATTTTCCGCTATCAATCTCATTTCTTGTAGGTGAAGTTCCAATACCAAATGTCTTATGCACGCAATTAGCAACATCCGCAGTAGAAGGTCCTTTGATGTTATATCAAAATAGTATAAGCATGAGCATACGTGTGATCATAAATGCAATAAAGCAACGTTTAAAACAAATATATAATATGGACACCGAAATTTCACAAATTTCCATCCAATTGTTGAAATAATTGAACCGAATGTCATATGAAGGCGTGTTCATGAATTGTAAATAATCACGAAATTTGGGGTGAAAAATCGAGCCCAGTAGAACTCGGAGAATACTTAAAATGATGCATTAGCCTTCTAGGGACATCTTCTATGATTAAGTAATTCAAGTATGAAACTAATTCGTCTATTAATTGCGGAGTTGTAAAAAGGTTGCAACAAAAGATACTTTTCGTGTCCTATGAAAGCGAAATAATTTTGAAAAGTGAAATTTTCTAGAAGGGACAAAAAAACAATGCAGAATATCACATAGTCAAAGTAGTGTTTACTATGTTATTGCTTAATTGACTGATAACACGGGCCCCCAGATGGCCACAAACCAAACATGTTTATAAAGTCTTTCACGAAAACACGCAATCCTTTCCGCTCAGCATATACCCTATAAGTCCATATTGATTAGATTCTGGGTAAGATGTCGAGCATTTGGTTTGAATCGGAAATTTCTATCTGCTATAATTACCCCCTAAACATCTTACCAGTCCAGATTTTTTTATTGATAAAACTTTACAATAAATAATCATATCTTGCAAATCGTATCTAACCTTTCAACGCAGAAATGTTCAGTGATTTCACAGCTTCCACCAGCTGGATTTTTGCCTCCTCAAATCTGTCGTCTATTCTGGTATCAGAGTTGATCGATGAGATGTTTAGTTCGGATACTTCTTCCTTCAATTTTGATATCTAGATTCCGAATACAAAAATTAGTTTACCTCATATTGACTTGCTCGAACAAATGCTTCAAGGATGGTCTGGTCCAGCTCTATGAATATACTACTGTGTTCTTCATCTACGAGTTTAAATGAAATACATCAGCTTGTTTGTGGTGGCCGAACTATGATCAGATAGCAACTGGTCCCAAGCATAAAAACTGGAGGCATTATGGTGAATGCTGAAGAATGGAAAAACAAAATACTTACCAGTTCATTTTGCTGTTTCAGCTGGGTACGCGCATTTAGAAGTTCTTGAGTAACATTTGTTTGAAAGTTTCCACGGCTTGAAATACCAGCTGAAGAAGAGAAAATTCAAAATGAATATAAAATGTGTTTATTTTCCAACTAATGAATTTTTGACAAATACTAGCAATCATTTGTTTGAAAAAAGGTACCAAGTCGTCAACTAAAATTAAAAAGATTATCGAAAGAACGACTACTGTTGCATGATCTATCAATTCATTCTTGCAATTCAGATGTTTCATAAATTTATTTTCGTATACCGTGGCGGTCATAGAATTGAAGTGTTGGGTCACTTGCTATGGGAGGTGTATATAGTCAATTGGTACGCCATGGCCCAAGGGCAATTTGTTATTATAAGGAGTAGTAAACATTTACTGATTCGAACCTGCGTTAAATCAAATAGAATTTCATAAGATTTGAAATCCTATTTTTAAAATTATATTTTCGTCACAAGTGTGGGGAATAGCTGCTGGAGTTCGGCAGGAAAATGAATCACAGTGAGGACGGTGTTGTCTAGTTTATTTTCACTAATAGTAAAGCACTCAAATAGACGACAAATGGTCGCTCAAGCCGGAAACGATTACAAATACCTTACTACAGTCTTTATCAAAGTTAGAATGGTTTTATACGCAGAGCAAGACTGGTGAAAACTAATATTTACACAATAAAATTAAAGCGCATCCGTTGGCTTAAAAAAAAAAGTACAATTAAATACCGGCACTAATTATTGAGACTTAGTCGGACGACCGCTGATTTAATTGGCAGGAAATTCCGGAGAGATTACGATGCCTAAAACCAACTTTCAAAGCTCATATTAAGTAGTTGTGAAGCCTGTGATATAAATACCAATTTTTGAATAGCATAAAACACTAACCTGTCAACGGATCCAGGAATCCTAAAATAAAAAGCGATATAGCAACAATCGATAAAAAACTTAAAATGATTGCCACAATAACTCCAGCTACAAGGCATCGAAAACATTTGATGGGTGGCTTCTTCTGGTTTGATTCCTCGCAACCAGGTCCGTGATCGTACAAGTTCATGTGCAAACCAGCATACATAGGGTTCAATCGTTGTCTGAAAAAGAGTGTATGTCAAAACTACAAAATACAGTTAAACTTTATATCCAATCCAAAATATGCTCGTTAAGTTTTAATCGGTAACAGTTTGATCGAATGTATATTATATATAAATAATATTAAAAATATATAGTATGAAGCGTTAGAAATGTGCTAACCGTATAACAGTTGTTTAAATCACTTCGGATTTTCGAATTCTGTAGGGAATAAATATGAGCGAGACTGTGAGAGGATGACTGACTGGAATGGTCGATTAGGAATACCTGTCCATCTGATAACGTGCATCCGAACTGTTTAATTAGTCATCAAATTAACAAGAGAGCGATGCTCAAATGGACACGAAACCAAAACGTACCGCAAACTTCCTGACTAACGCAAACGTAACCGCCACGGAGTGCGCAATTTTTGATGACGTTATCACAGCACACAAAAAACGAATCCCAGAGAGCCCACAAAATGTTTTGAAATAAATAAAAGTAATAGACTTCTAGCGAAAAATATAAGCTTTAACGACTGACAATTTCAGAGCAATCGGTGCAGTGAGAAAAGCGTTTTTTCCCAACAAGAAAAAGAATATTACCAACAAGATTGACAACAACATAATAACAAAACAACCCATATGTCCACTCCGTGTACATTAAACATATTATTGAAATTCCTCTGTCCTATCTTTTCATTTGGCGCTTTTTTTTTTAAAACTTGACCATGAACTCCATGACCGGATTCGTTACCCAAATAGATGATTACCATGGATTAATTTAAACTAAAACAAGACATCGATATTATTTGGCGTTTTAAAAATTTGTGCCAGAAATATTAACAAGAATCTCAAACCTTGGATTTTTAATTTTTTCTGAAGGTGTTGTTGCTTCTTTTTTCTGGAATGAGATTGGGGTAAACCCAGTACTACTCATTTCTTGATCTGGAACGAACTTCCCGGTTTGTGACTCGGGAGAAATTTGTGGAAGTTTCTGCAACGAAGAAACACTCGTCATTATTTAGAAGTTGCAGGACGTACGCTGTTCGTTGGACACCATCTCCAAATTGACAATTAAAAAAACAGAGCGACGACGCAATTTCTTCAAAAGCAGCAAATTAGAGGGTAACACCACCAAGCCCATGGCATCCAGTAGAATTTTAAAAATATATAACTGTATAAGCCTTCAAGAAAGCACTATTATTTGAAATACTGAAAGATGAAACGAATTTTTCTCGACAATAACGATAACATTGACATCAACAACAATTTAACAAAATGATCCACCCGCCCACTTGTTTGACGGCTGCAATCATTTGCCTTGCACCACTTTTTGTAGTCTTTGATTAATATAAATTAATGCTAGCTTACTATTAAGTGGAGTAGCAGTCTCCAATACAGATAAAATTTTCAATTTTGGATTCTTGAATTAATTAGAAAGCATCTGCCTCGGTATTTCTAATCAAGCGAACAATAATAAAATAACTAACTCGCTGCTGAAGAATCTTCACATCCGTGGGTATATCAAGTTGATCTACTGGAAGTTCTTCGTAGTCGTGAACATTTTGTGCTTTTCCAGTCGACTCCAATGCCAAACTTTGCGGAATTGATGAACGATTATTATTTTGTAGATTGAGATGACTCGAACCGATGTCTTGCCTCGATCGCCTCAGACTCTCTCGATTTGGTTTCTTAGGTTTTGTCTTTTTAAGCTCGGATGGAAGTCGATTTTCAGGATATTCTGAATAGAATGAAATTAGACAATTAATTTACCACGACATTCAACTTTCGTAAAGCGGCTTATGGACAAAATGAAAACATGACCTTTTTTATAATGAAACTCAACGGCATGGCATTTTGGATTTTTCCAAAAACATTTGTGACCGTTAGATAAAGTGACTTTTTATTTTAAATAGGGAAATTAATACGCCTAAAATCATAGAAATAACTATATAGACAGACTGCCCAAGGTAAACTACAACGCATATTGAGAAAACTGTTGTAATTTTAAAAATGAAATGTAACACCCTCATCGAACGACAAAATACATCAAAAAAATCACTATCACGCAGTCCAAAACATCAACCTACAAGCAATATTCTCAATAAACCAACAAATGTGACGTCATTTTAGTCAAACAAAGTGGTAAAGTTGCCTCACCATTTACTAGGAGCCTCTCTTTGCTAGGTGTTCGCTGGATTGATTTTGGCAAACTGTGGTTTCGTTTCTCGTCTACATAATCAAAAGCATCAGAATGAGAGCGCTGCCCTGGACTCGTTGATTTGCCATTACTGCGTTTAACTTGCAATTCAGATATATCAAAGATATTGTCACAGGATACGCTGGTTGTATTGGCACCTGCCATGTTCCCTGTCGGTAGCGAAGGCCGTTCGTTGGAAGTGTTTTCAGTATTAATTTGTCGCATTATATTATTATTATAACGGCCTGCTGGTGAATAATCAGTCCTTTCTCCGCGAGATGGAATATTGTAATTTTTACTGGGAACTTTTCCTTTATCCGTCACTGATTTCGCTTCCGCGACAACTACCTTGAATGGCTCTAATTCCAACAAGCTACTGCTCAATCTGAAACAAAATGGCGCTATAAGGATTAAAAAATCATGCAAATCACATAAAGACGATTTACCATTATATCACATTATTCATTATCTAAGGCAAATTGGAACCGAGGTTTGCTAGAGCCGAGCATTTTCAATCCTATCTTTACATTGCCATGAACGGTATGTAAAATTAAAAAAAGCTCAAAATATACCAGGCTCCGTCGACGCGCTGTTTCCTCGTGCATGTATGCATATCTTACACTTTAAAATATTCCATAGAGACGTTAAATTTAAAAATTATACCGTGACTCCCGCTATAGACAGACGCACTGATTTGAAGCAGCGCATTATATCCATAACAGCATCAACAACTAAATAAGGGTAATCTTTACTATATTTTTGTATATGCATCGCAACTGTCGAAATTCATGATGATGGTTTCAAATATCCCATTTCGGGTGGTGCTCTTATTATATAGAGATTAAAAATGACCAAAATCGGTATACAATTGTGATTAAATACCTGCATCCATTTACATATTTTTCTTCCTCGATTTCACTCATAATAAGAGCAATACATTTCTAAATTTACCATCTTCTTCGCGAATTCTATAAGTTTAAATTAGAAGCTGACAATATAAAATACGATAATACAATGATACTTCAAAGCAATCAACACTATTGGTAAAAACTATTAACAACTGGCAGCAGAAGGCTGTATATAATTTGCCAGTAAGAGCAAGAATAGTAAAATATTTGGGTCAAACTAATATTGTCGATTTTGGCAGACCTATTGTTAGCGAGTATCGTGACCTTGCAATTTGTGAACTGCTTTATAAATTTTGCGGTAAATGAAGCACTTTATATTAGCAGTTTCTGAGTACATTTAAAATTTTCAGACTTGTACAAATATTACTAACTATTTTTCCATGCAAATATTGGAGTGCCTAACTGACGAGTAAAATTTCCCACGGCTTACAATCCAATCATCTCAACTATAAAACGCGATATAATGTTTAGAAACAATGCTACTAATACTGAAGACAACGAACACTATTACCTACAAATATAAAACAAATTATTCTGTAGCCATATTGACTGCAAACTCAATCATACAATTATGCACTAGATTTGTATACAAATAACATTTATCATAGTATTTTTGAATACTAATATATGTACAACTTAGTTCACCTGGTTTGTTTGTATCACTTTGTTTTAAAACAAACTGCCGCAAGGGAAAACTTTTTCGAACGTTAGGCTCCCTGGAGGCATAATTTACGTCTACCGACATTGCTACATCAAACTTAGGCAAGCGGAACAATGACAAACATATCGTCATTTCTAAATACGGTCAAAGCGAACGAGCTTAGCACACAACCGAACACGCTTGCGAATGCGCGAAAACTTGTTATGACTATTGAAGATGGAATTTCTAATTTCAATGTCGGCTTTAGAATACAGTACGTTCCCATAAATTAGTCAGACTCGATAAAAGCCATGCGCGTGAAAATTAAATACAAACGATCAATGCGAGATAAATTCAGTCTGTCTATCTCGATCATATCCAACGCCAATTTCTCACTGCGTACATCCAAAGTACTGTCAATTTTGGCGGAGCTTTAATCCCATTCAGCTATTATTGTTTTCGAATGATTTGATTAGGAAGTGGAACCGCTTCTAAACCTTTTCGACTACGTAGTGTCTGTGGCCACCAAATTCCGATATCAAATAGATCTCGTCCCGTGCTGTGAAAATTGAACAAATAATGACTCCAAATAAATTTCCTATTCAACCTAAAAAATTGAATGGTGAATTACAAATGACGCAAAGTTGGATAATGAAAGAAGTAGGAAGTGACGATGGAATTCAGATGAATAAAACATTTGTAATTCACTTCCCTTGCTGTTTATATATTTTGTGATGAATAAATTTAGAAACGGCCGATTAGTGCATTGATAGGACGTAAAGCAGTGGTTCTCAAACGGTGGGGCGCGCCCCATATGCGGGATGTAAACAATTTATAAGAGGGCGGGAAGCTAATCAAAAATAAAAATATTTTTCAAGATTTGATCTTGCCCGCCTTAATTGGGATATTTACATTTCTTTATTGGATATAGATACTATTCCATGCACGTATTTTCAACTTTTTTTTTAATAAAACATACTTTTGCCTTACTATCTGTTGTTTGTAACTTATCGTTAGTTAGTTATTTTTGAGGTGGGCGAGAGACTTGACAACTTCTAAAAAGGGGGCGCGGCTTAAAAAGTTTGCGAATGTAAAGCCTAAGACATTTTTGCGTGTACGAAACTAGAATCAAAAGTGTATGATAGCCCAGATATGTATTTTCCAAAAGTATTCAGATTTCTCCAACTATACGTGTGCCATTTCAAGCGCTATGTGAAGTCTGTATATGCACAAAATATGCCACTGGCTTATAATGAATCTGGAATGCATGAATCGCAATTGCAAATATTTATCTGTCTCTTACTTACTACACTCGGTGGAGAAAAAATTCATCTTCCGACTCCGGCTCTCAACTTTCTAAAAACACCAAATTTTGACAATCAAACTTTTTTGGCTCCAGAGAAAATGTCGATGAAGACTTGATAACGACTGATAGAAGTTAGAAAATATAACACATCACATTGACTGTCGTAGTCCTGGATATTTTGGTCTACTGAAAGACTGGAGAAAACACTCGATCTCAACATTCGGCAATTTGAAAGATCAAAGACGCAGATTGTGATCAAATATATGGCCACCTTTACACGTCTATTCCTATTATTACTCCCCGCCCTTTAACCTCTACTCGGTATCTGACGTTATCTGTCCCTCATTACAGTGAATAAAAATAATATTCAAAACTTTTAGCCGAGTGGTCTGTGAGCTATTTTGTCAAATTCATGAACTTGACGGTAAACAACGATTGCAATACTGTCCACACTTAGCGAAGATCATAACAATTCACCCACCTGGCTCACCATGTACACATATTTCTAACTATTCCATATTGACGTTATGCTTCTTTAGTTTGTCAAGGCCTCTGCTTCACATGTATTGTTTCTTAGCATAGTTCACAACTGGCTCAATAGAATGCAGTGAAGTGAACCGTGAATAACAAGCGCAAGCTTATAACACAGAGATGACGAATGAATCGTAAAATTACCCTAATGGCGTCATATTCCGTAATAACAATACGGATCAGCTATCTCAAATGTCAGTCGAGCATGATCATCTATGGAACTAAATTCTCGACCATAGCTTTTGTATTTATATGTATAGCCTACTGTATATATGTATGATTAGGAAGTAATTTCAAAATGAATATGGTCGGCAAATTCGGGATGTTACTGTCGCTGTCTATTTCTATGACTTAATTCGCGGACAATTTTTCGATTTTCAGTATCCGTGCTCCAAAAATTTCAATGCTTTTTTAAACCTGTAGCGATTTCGTCATGTGGTTTTTAAAAAGGTACAAATATAATACTATTATGGCGTATATAGGGAGTCATTTATATTTAACTTAGACTATAATATTTCCTGTGCTATTTCATAACCATTTATTTCAAGGCGTTACATAGTCACCGAGTGTCAAAGCGGGGCCATGGGTTCACTCGTCACTTTGGGTTCACTCATCAAGCACAACATCATCGTCCTCAAAAACTGCATATTTTATTATTTTCATCAAATTTTATGAGATGTGCAAGTAATCAACGGATACATGTTTTGAATCAGTTAAATTAGAAAACCGTTTTTCAACTACGGGCTATTGTTGGAATATTTCTTTCCAACAAATAAGGCAAAATCCACGCATTTCTTGGTATTGGTTCAATCTTGTGTGACATGCGACGGTTGATGCATAGTAGCCTACTTAACGTTAAGAATACGTTTTTCGTGGCTCGTGGCTTGGTTTGGGCACATGCGAGACAATTGTGATTTGGTGCTGACTCCTGCTGAATGGTGACGTATCTGATGACCCCCACTGCTTTCTCTACCATTAAATTTCATTTAGACTACCTCTAAAGATTGAAAGCTATTTCCGTACTTGGACCAAATACCCAACGGAGAATTCGTGGTTTGTCCTATTGGTTATCCCATTAATTAAGAACTCCATCGGTAACTCTAAAATCCTAATTATCTTATAACACCTTTGGTGTTTCAATAGCTGGTGATAACCGGTATAAGCTTAGTATAGTCTTGGTGGTGTGGCAAATCGTGCTTGGCATTCGAAATACGCCCACCCATGCACCCCCTATTGCTCTGCGTGGGTTCGCAGGTCCGAATCCCGTGGCGGTTAAGTGTGTGCGAGAGGATTTGTTGACCGCCGCAGTGTGCATCCCACTTTGCTGTAAGAGCGCTCTCAACACGTACATTTCGTGTTTGGCTAAGTCTTTCGCACAACTGCTCCACTGAAAGGTACTTTGACTTATAACAAACCGTTTTCGAGAAAGCGAGAACAAGCTTTCCATCGAAGGACATACGGTACCGTAGTCGGGAACTGTTGAATTACTGAGGCAGGGCTTTATTTATATTTTATTTTTATATTAATGTAATATTCTCTGGCATGGGCGGGTAGTCGGATAGTGTGAACGTGAAAGTAGTGTAGACGGTTATTTGTCTTTATACAGCGAGTTGGGAAATTCACAGTTTTAAGCTAGGATAAAAAAAAGTCCGAACACTTCCGCCATTCTGTCATTCATTCAACCATTGGTTCTCCCTTACCTGTCAGCATTCTGACAGACTGAATGCCTTATGTCTGACGCCTTGTTTTCATACCGTACGGCGTACGGTACTTTGTCTGTATGTACGGTACCGATACCGGTATCTTACTGTCAGACTGTGCCTTGATTCTTTCTGTTTTTGGCTTTATTTGTACCCAGGTTTTGGTAAAATGTTGCTAAAATTCAGAGGTACGGTACTGTAACATACGGTAGGTGCGGTATAATAGGCTATAACCAGAGAAAATGACTGACTGAAGAACTTAGTCTAATACTGTAATAGGTACCAGGTACAGAATAGGTACTGGAATATGGTGTGCTGTTTAAATTCGACGTTCATATACAAATAGCCTATACTTGAGCCCTTTTATCATATTCAGGCCTTTCTGTCCTTGGTTACGGTACCAGGTTACGGGATAAATGAGAAATTCTTCATTCTATTCTGTACAAAATGACAAATTTTTATAATATAATATTCAAAATTATATCCCGTAATCAAGAACTAACGATATTAACGAATCTCAAATAACCAATTTTGAATGTATTCAGTATTTGATATATGGGCTTCATAGGGCAAAGTTCTCCAATGTTTCAACATTTGGTTCAATAAAACAAACACTCTATTTATCTCTGAAACGAGGGCATCTGGTTCTGCAGCAGAAATGTTTTTCCTTTTGTAAATTGGATTATTTTTTTAAGAGGAATCCAATCCAATGGTGAAGTATATTGCACAGTCTGTCAGTGCCGATTTGTTCTGATATGGAGGCTCAGACTGGAGCAGGGTTTTATACTCACCATTATACTTGATATATTTCAATGTTGGGCTATTCTTTGAATCGAAGGACCTATGTTGTATTGCAATCCAGTATACAGAAGAATAACTTCCCCTATCCGCCCATATTGGTACCTTTAGCTGTATAGTTACATGGTATCTTGTTGTCCCCTTGCACCTTTTGGGTTTTGTTTGGGGAACATTATATTATAGATCAGTAGATATATACCTATATAAAATAGCCTCGAGAACGACTTTTTTCTAATCATATGAATATGCACATAAGCTAGAAGATTTGTTGTACTTTGAGTTGAATCTTGATTATTTAGCCAGCTTATTTTCAATCACATACAGGCATATTGTAGTGTGGTAGTGTATTACATTACACTTAAATTTTTGCGCTTTTATAGTTTAATTGTGGTAACTAATATTTAAGAAGAATATCTTCATTTAGCTTCTGTTTACAACTGTTGTTCAAGACTGGCTTCAAATTTAAGATTCGCAGGATGTGATGTCTCACTTACTCATTTGAATTATGTTTTGTGACAGATTTTGAATAAATTGATGTGGACGGCTATATGCAGAATAGCTGGCCTTGGTTTAGTGGAAATAATAACTTATATCCAAAACTCTATTGGTTTTCTTTCTAAATATTGTGCACAATAATATAATAAGTGGTAGAATGCTATAAATATTGAAATAGGTGTTGTGTAATTTTCCTTTCTTCAAATTTAGGTATGCACAATTTGTTTGCAAAAAACTTTTTCTATGTCGATGCGTTTTACAACACATATTACTGTATTACAAGGTGTAAAATGCCATTCATTTTAACTACAGGAGTGGTGACTCCTCTACGGCCCATGGGCCGGGGCCACGGCCCATCTAGTTGGGCCACATGGGCCGTGGCCCATAGCTTGATGGGCCGCGGCCCCATCAGGAAAAATTCAATTATCTTAACAAAATTTTCAATTTTTACCAAACTGTCAATATTCAAACCAAAAAAATATACTCCTGTAGTATGTGTACCAGGTTAGGGTTAGGACAAAAAAAAATCAGATTTTTTACATTATAGTTCTATTATGAGTTCGGGGACTGTCTGTGTTAGCCAAGTGAATAGTTTCTTTATACAACTTGATGGGCCGCGGCCCATAGCCTGATGGGCCGAGGCCCAATTCAATGGGCCGTGGCCCCGTTCCATGGGCCGCAGAGGAGTCACCACTCCCACTCCATTTTAATCACATTATTGGAATAACTCAGTATCATATTAGCGCTTGTCATGAAAAATTCAAATCTTTTTGTCAGGTAACCTAGCTGATAAGCATACATGTATCTAAACAACTGGCATACATAAACTAATTCTGACATTGGCAGAGATCATGCCATCAAAGAAGAAGCGGGGAGGAGGGGGTGGGTTGTTCTGTGGCTGTTTTGGAGTAAGAGATGAGCCACCAGAAATACAACTTGAAATAGGAAATGCAGATATAAGATCAACCGTGGATCCTACTTTGCCAATGCCTCCTGTTTCTGAGCTCAATGCCAAGTTCACAGAGCTTGTGGTAAGAAAAATGGCTTTCATAAATGATCTTTTGTTTTATTCTTACTTTTATGAGTCTGGTAATTTGGTACATCTTAGATCCTAGTAAAAAAAATTATGATTTCTCAATATTGACAAGATATGTGTTCAACTTATTTTTTTGCCCTCTGTCATAATAATTATTTCAAGAACATGTGAATTCTCTTGAAGCACTGAGATAGTCCTCATATGTTTCCATATATTCTAGGCATTGTCTAAAACAGAATGAATCGAACTATTACTTCAGTAATTAAATGGCTTTATAGTAACTCGCCAAAACAGTTTATTAATAATCTTTGTGTAAGGGGGAATGCGCAGCTGTTGGGGAATAAAAAAGAGAATTGCATAGGCCCAACAGGCTTTGCTCAAAATTAATTAGAAGAAGGCCTGACTACTGTTTACTTGATGGTTTTACCAAGATGGATTTCTATTTTTTTTGATAATTGCTTTAAAGTCATCTTGGTATTTCGGTTAAACAGTGTGTAATTAGCATATTTGCATGTTATTAATTCTTTGTGGTCAATAAGTGACTCACTTACATGTGGATTTCATTAAATATTCATCAAATGACCTACTTTGCTTGATCTTTCTACTAAGTTAATTTCATACAATATGTGTTGTAATTGATTAAATTACTATGATTCGCTTATTGCTTAACAATACTAATGAAGGCTTTTATATGATTTTTAGAATCATTCAGACATACATTACTTTGTACAATGCCAAATTAAATAAGGTGTCTGGGATTATGCAATGTAAAATCATTATTAAATAAAGTAGTTGAATACTGAAACTGCTTTGTGCTTATTTATTGTGTATTTTTGAATTTTTTTAGTCTAAATTCTGAAGATCATATATAGTGTTTGGTTCGGCTGTATCTTTTATTTTAAATTAGTCAAAATATAGTACACATATCTCCAGTGTTTCCCATCAGTATAAGTCTATAAGATATATTTTACTCCCAATAAAAATTTGGTATATTGAAACTGGAACATCTTATATGGAATACAGAATCATTTTCTTGTATATCTGTGCAGGATTGTAAATTCATTGAAGATGTTGAACAAGCATGTAAAATATATATGATAAGCAATGCTTATCACCATAAACCTTCTTTCGATTAGAAATGAATGGATATTAGAATTCTCCATACATATATGATCGATTCAATCACAGGATCTATTTAACCCAAACAGAGAAACTTGAAAAAGCTCTTTTGAGATTATCACAAAAACATATGTTTTTGATTTTTGGACTCGTGTAACCTTTTATTGAAACACTTTGGTGAATATTGCTTCAAATTACGGTTAGATACCAGCTTCAATAGCACCTAATTCTTTGTAATATTTTTCAAACGAAATCTTTTTTGAAATACAACATTTAACCCTTTGTCTTGAAATCCTCATATTGTCAATTGATTGATATCGAGTAGTTTTTTCCATCCATCAAATATAACAAACTGTCATCTGGTGAATTTTATATTGAACCCAATACTGCTTCCTAATTGTTGCATTGTTGAGCACGAATGATTTTCGAAATGAATTGAATTAAATGGTCAACTAAGATTGGCATGAGTATCATTTTTTAAAATATTATATTTTTTATCATTAATGTCATCTGCAGTTGGTAGCTGTAGTACCGGTAATTTATTACTGTATTTAAACCGGTTTATTCAAGTCTTATTTCTTACTTTTGTATACCATATTCTATGAGCCATCTGTGTATTCAATTTCAATCTGTTTTACAGGAAGAACTTGATCTTCCACCTCAACGTCGCCAGGCGATGTTCAATATGTCACCCGAGAAGAAATGGCAAATATACTGCAGTAAAAAAAGGGTAAGAGTTTTTACATGTCAGTACATGCTTTCCCAAAGGGAATTCCGATTTTGGTATAGGTGTGGCATGTGCGTTTTAAATTGAAATGTCGTGCAGTCCTTATATTTTTAATTTATAAAATAGGTCTAGTGATTTGATTTGAATTCTCCTGATTCTTTTCAATTTATTCAATATTTGATTTTGTTGTAACTGGGTGTGGCCATTCATGACGCGGCAAAATGTTTTTTCTTGAATTTCAGAATTTTGAGTGGATTCACAATTCATTAGGTCAAATTTTTGTTTGTAGTCCATCACACCATACACAAAGTAAGTGTAAAAAGGGGCAAATTTCGCAGATTGAATAGCAAACTCCTATTTAATACTACTACCTTAATAAAACTATTTAGGCATTACTAGTTCATTCTCGTTAGTCCTATTAATTATTATTATCAATATGCTATGCCCTTGATGAAACAGTTAAGTAGGATGTACTTGATCCTAGGATAGGATTAGTATTTGATCAAATTCTTTATATTTATCAGGAGCAAGAAGATCCACAACTTGCAACAAGTTGGCCAGATTACTACATCGATCGTTTGAACTCCATGAGTTCGGTAAGGCAGACGATTTAAATATTACCGTAAACTTTATTAATCTTATTTTGAATCATTGTCAAATTTATTAACTTTTCCAAAGCAAGCACTTACTGGAATATTAGGTACAAAAACAATGGATTTCTAGCTTGAATAAAATTCAGATCTCAAGTAAAGGTTCTAAACAGACAGATGATAAAGATTACACTTTTGATCTGGATAAATTTTGTGAATTTGGATAAATTCTATTTTGTCACAAAAAACTTCATATGATTTGGGTGAACAAGCCAGAACATTTTACAAATACATACTATCTACTCAGCATATTAAAATAGTGAGTAAGCATGTGCGCTGTACAGTATTGAATTTCTAGATTGCGTATATTTTTGTTTTTATTTTTCTAAGCTTACACAAAGCAAAGTTAATTCATACGAATGCATGTATTCATGGCATAAGTCTGAGAACTAGACTATTTTGTCAATTTTCAAACATTTCGATCAATTTCACACCAAATTATAAAATGCCTGGAATTCTTTTTCACTCAATTATCTTTCAATAAATAATTACAGCAATGTATAATTTCAATTTTACGCCTATTGATTATTTTTATATTTGAAGCATTTCATCGAATTTGCTGAAAAAATTTGTTGTTAATACTGTGACAATTACTTGTTCAGAAAGATAGCCAGTATCTTTTATGAGCAACTTATAGAATATAATTAGCTGTTATTTATGATAGTGTTGGTAGCCAATAATAATTGACATTTTTATGTTGTTCAAATGATTAGGAACTATAAATAATATTGTTATGAACCCAAGTAAAGGGTTATAAACAGAGTTAAGATATCTTGCTTGTTCTATAAGCTTCATGAATGTAAGTTAAATATATCAAACTTATTTAGAGAGGTATGCTTGCGTAAAATAAAAACGGACGAAACTCTGTGATATGGTACTAACGCCAGATTCATATGATTCTGAATTTTATTACATGGGCATATCTATCATAGATCATAATTTTGTTTAAAAGAGTGTCAAATTTTTGAGAAAGATGTAATTTTTTATCTAAACCCCTAAAAAACACCCTTTTCGAAAACTCATTTACAATTGTATTTTGATAGACTTATTGAACATCTCTATTTGGTGTTAAACAATGAATTGTATGTACAAATTACCAGTGCAAATAACTTTGAGAATGTGTGCCATGCTTTCAATGGTATTGAACAATTAAGTTGAAGTAAAAAGATAATGTCTTAATCAATACCTAGTGATTATTAGATATAACTGGAGTTCTCATAATTCATAACCCTCACCTATACATATGGAATATTTGGTGTCACTGAAATATCGTTCATGGTATAGTAATTAAAAGTCATTATGGCAATGGACATTCCCACATGACTAGATATACAGACCAATACATGCTTCGATAAGCTTAAAACCATATATAACGTTATTTATGAAACACATACTTTTATAGGATCAATATAACTATATAAATTTCCTAGGGATTTTTAACACATTAATTCAAAAATGTTTAAATATACTCTGCTTTCAAAGTTTTTACTCAACATATTTCACTTATTAAATGCACATCACATTTTTCTTTATAAATTCAAAAAAGTAGGTCTATAAAGTTCACGACCGGAAGTTCGATTTGGTTTTTGTGCTATTTGTTATGTACTATTTTTAGACCTAAAAAAATTGCCACTGCTCTCATGTCATTACATCATTTTTTGATAGTACGTGTGAAAAAGGTGTTATGTGTCGTCGGAAGTGATTGATCTTCAAATAAGCGAGTTTAGGCATAGAAGGTTAAAATGATTTGCATTGTTTTCTGACATTTCCGCAAGTAAAGGTCATTTCATTTGGCAAGTTGGCAAAGTGCAAAAGCCGCACCCTGAAAAAAATGGCCGTATGCAAATATATTTTGTATCGGCCGTTTTCATCCAGTCATCAAGAAGGGATGTCTGGTAATAAATTGGATAGATTATATTACTGAACCGTAAAGATTCAAAAACCCCAGTAGCTAACTGCATGTCGGTGGCTGCTTATCTAGTGTTTTGTTCGGAGCACATGTGTAAAACACCTAATAATATAATTTGCCCAGTCCAAAAGCTAATGCTGGATTAGGGACCTGCTAGTCATCTGTATTGAAAAATGTTTTGGAATAGAAAAATGTTTTTGCAATTAACAAAAATATATGAGCAATATACTTTTGTTGCACAAAAATTCTTTGGCTCTTCCAACTTTCTTATGCAAGGGAAAAACTGCAAGAAAAACGAAAAATTCTTTCCGCAAAAAAAGACTCTCTCAAATTTTTTTAATTAAAATGAATACTACCACTCAGTTTCCCAAAACAGTATCATCAGTCATTGCTACTTTTAAAAAACTATACCAATTTATCAATACCTCCCACAATTTATAAGATTATAACATGTTGTTTGCCCCACAAGGAAATATTTCTATGGCCCATCACTGGTCGTCTAGTGGCGTCACAGTTTAGAGATCATGGTTTTCACACCCCATGTTTATCACTTCACCCAGCGTGTAAAGAATTGAGAAGGTAATACTTCAGAGTGATTCCTGTCTTTTGAAAAAGTAGAAGATGCTTATGTAGTCATAGGATTGTACAGAGCCTTGCTTGAAGTAATATCATGAAAATGCCCCATAAGAAATCTGTGGCTGTAAATATACCCACCAATCGCAATTTTGGTTACCAATAGTTTTTGCATTCTTTATTTAGGTACTGGTTCTTATGTACGATGATGAAGAAATTAATTCAAGACTCCAGCTTGTCGATAATTTAAAAACTGCATTGAGAACACTTCCTGTCAGGTTTGATTCTTACGTTGTTTACAATACTGATGGACTACTACTTGGCGGTTTATTTTAGGCACATTTTGTTTTGAGTGGCTTTACGACCATGGATGACATAATCTAAATATTTTGGTGTGTTATTTGTTGACTTAGGAGGTATTTGAGAGACTTAGATATCAGTAGGGTCTGCTAACACAATGACTCTTTAAATTCCCTCAATTTTTAGACACATAATTCAACATTCTACTTAATTGCTTTGTTGGGCAAAAAATCATGTTTTTCTATCAGATAATGTACCAATAAAGGTGGAAGTGTCTTTTGTCCTCTCAAATTTTCTGGGCCTATTCACCTGAGCCCTATTCTTTTCTGCCCCAAATGTTGCTGTGGTTTCAAAAAAAAGTACCTTACCAAGCGAATTATCTGCTGATTAATTCCGACAAGCCTCTGTTCAACGAGCACTTGGGATACTTTGATTTCACTTTTCAGTTTAAAATGTTGTGTTTAAATCCCACCACCTCACCCAGAGGGTAATAAATAAGGTAGTCAATGACAAACCTGACAGATTCCAGTCCATTATTAAGACCATGGTATTTTCTCACCTAGCAATTAAAGAAATAAATTGTTTGAACCTAATAATTTTTCAGATTGTTACTATCGAATTTCTGAACTAATTCATGATTCACAATTTATTTGCAATAGGTTTGTGTCTCGATTTATCGAACTCGATGGATTGACATGCCTTCTCAATTTTCTAAAAAATATGGTTCCAGAGGTCACAGAGAGCAGGATACACACTTCTGTTATTGGATGCATCAAGGCACTCATGAACAATTCGGTTCGTATATAATATTACCGTAGGTTTCAACAGAAATTCCTTTTTTTATTGTGAGAAATCCCCAGTATAAATATTTGTTTTCCCTTTATGTTTGACTATGTCAATATCCAAAATTTACTGTTCCAATTAGTTTTAATTTCAAATAATCTGAATAAATCCATTCGGAGTGTGTAATCATCATATATTGTACTCGATGAAATGTACTAAAAAGCATAATTATAATGGAAAATGATGAAACTTCAATTAAAAGAACATCAGATCTGAAGTTCATTGGAGCAAACTCTTTCTGAACTTCTAATATCTTGTATTTAATTGGGAATTGAGCATTCAGAATGTTTTTGGTATTCTGTACCAACACCATTAGCACACCACTGACGTAAAACTATCCAGCATACATAAATATCTGTAATGCCCTGAAGTCTCGGGTTCGAATCTCATGTCCAACACCTTACCCAGGGTGTGATGAAGTAGTTACGCAATGACAAACCTCAAAGATTCCTGCGTTTCCACTCTATAGTAACTCTTCGTCTAGCTGTGGCTTCTTGTGCAGAGGCTTGTCCAGAGCAATAGGCATATAAAAACGCAACATAAAAAAAACATAAAATTGGCATGTTAATGTTTAAAGCACTTAATGTTCTAACAATGTACAATATGATTTCAGCAAGGAAGAGCTCATGTGTTGGCACATCCAGAAAGTATTAAAGTAATAGCCCAGAGTTTGGCCAGTGAAAATATTCGAACAAAGACCGCAGTGCTGGAAATACTAGGAGCAGTATGTCTCGTGCCAAATGGCCATAAGAAAGTTCTCGAAGCGATGTTGCATTATCAAAATTTTTCAAATGAAAGATCTAGATTTCAGGTTAGTTTCATATTGCTGTATCAGAATACTCATATTCAAATATCCAGGCCTAATTACAATTTTACTCTTACAGGATAGAAATTTCAATCCATTTCTTGTATTTCAAATATTGTTGACATATTCAAGTATACTCGTATATCAGCATATAGTGTATTATATTCATAAATTAATAAATTACTTCTAATTTCGTCTGCATATCGAATGTTCATCGGACTTATTCAATATGTAGCTTCATAATATATTTATGTCTAAGTCTTTGCAATGGAGCTATATTGGCTTAGGTCACATTATAAGGTTTTGAGAAAATTGTATTCTTGTAGTAGTTCGGTTGTGACGGCCAACTACCTAAAATCAAATTTGAAACAGGTACAGGTTTGAAATCTAGACCAATATCAAACATGGCCCATGGTCCAAAATGACAAAAAAGCCCATTGCTGAAAACTGTGACATATGCTACTTTGGTTTTACTCTGGCGAAATTAAGTTCAACTTGACAGATAAAAATGATCAATGATAATTTGGGTTAGTGTCGTTTCCATTCAAGCATTTGTGTATCATTTCTTATACAAATATACATCGAAGATATGTACCAATAAGCATTCTTTTTGAAATCTGGTAAACTGTGACTATTGGTTTTCCTCATGAAAAACTATTATTTTTGGTTGAATGATTCCTATAAAATATTTGTTTGTTTATTCAGGGAATTGTGAATGAACTCTCGAGAACGTATCGTGCGCCAGATGATAATGTGTTTGAAGTTGGCCTAAAAACTACAATCATGTCTTTTTTTAATGCACTTGTTAAATGTGGTGCAGGACAAGTAAGTAACATCATTTACTCAATGTTTTTTGATATAACAGGAATCTAGTGGGTATCAATGTCAATTTTCAATTAGTATTTGATTTGTCAAAGCTGACTTTTGCATTATGAATATCCTCTTTAAAGTATGCGACTGTTACAAAATATGTGGTCATTTTCAAAGATTAAATTATTTTCATCTTCACAATCAGAATTTAACAAATGGTCAAAAATGATTCATTTTAAACTCCTGAAAAATGTAGAAAATAGAAAACCATCCGGAGCTGATCAAAAGGAATATTCATCCCGATTTTTTTTTCAATTTCTATATTTAAGCCCTTATTTTAGCTTTAGCCCTTATTCCTCTGTTAAACATGATACAATACAAAATGCATATTCGATAATTCAAAATTCAGCATATTTTTTTCAAATTAATTTAAAATAGTATATTTCATTTAACCTCATCACAATTTTTTATTTTCAGTCTCAAAAAATTTTGTGATATTAGTGACGAAATTATAAAAAAAATATATTTGTCTTGAAAATGTCTGCATTATCAAAGATAGCTCATAGTTTGTCTATATTTTACAAAAGCAAATCTTATACAAAAACTGATGTTTCTTACATGCAATTTTCGAAATATATGTAGTATACTTTTTTGTCTATATATCATTATTTATCATTTAATTTGAATAATACTTACTATTACTGTAATCAAGCATTAAATATTTGTATCAATGTGTATAAAGTGTTGTATCTTCTGTTTTTCTCAGGATAATCTTGAATTTCGTTTGCACCTTCGGTATGAACTTTTATGCCTGGGTATTCAACCAATCATGGACGGACTTCGAATGCATGAGAACGAAACTCTCAACAAACACATCAATTTCTTTGAAATGATCAGAAGAGAAGATGAAGCAGAAGTGGCAGCTAGGTTTAGAATGGTAAGTTAGATTTGGCTTGAAATTATATGAAAAATTTTTTCGACCAAAGATTTTTATCCTGGTTGTTCTAGCAAGCTGCTTTACGGTAACTCCTTAGTCCTTACACATCGTTGGATATCAGGTCGCTCCAGAAGTGTGTGTACCAATATTGAGGTAACTAAGTTTGTTTGCCTACTCTTTTACATCAAGTTGTGTAGAGGAACTGAAACCTGTGGGCAGGGGGTATATATACTTGGCTAACACAGGCATTCTCGGAACTCGTAAAATAACTAAAATAAGAAAAATCGTAATCAAATTATGGCCTAACCCTAACCTGGTACACACACTACAGGAGTATCCATATCAGTGGGTGTTTGAACATTGCCCTATTCAGAGTGATAATCATCGATATGTGTCTCATATAAAAAGTGTTTTGCAGTTGAATCATCCAATGAATTATGAATATTGAATAACGAATATATTCTAAAGTGAGTTCAACAAAGAACACGTACACTTTGATCTACCTTAATGCAGAAAAGTTTTAGATAAATGATGAATTGATAAGAATGATGGTTTTTCAATTGGGACTATTCTAAATGATTTCTAAAATTAAAAATTTGAGATGTTAATTATATTATATTTGATACCAATTTAATAAATATTCAATTTATAATCAATCAATATGGCTTTGCAGTCAGCATGTTGAGACTATCGTAACTATTTTAACATAATAGGTGGAAGAACTTCCTTTTACTTAGAGTTTACGTTTGGATTATAAATTTGGAACGAAAAGAATTATTGTTTCTGTAAACAGTGTCTGCTTGTTCATGGGCTTTTTTGGGGCAAATGTGGTAATAACGCTTCATAGAACTTTACGAAGATCCAATACTCAAGTTTTTTTTCATTCACTGTACATTAGTTCAAAAGTATGATAAAATGAGTTGTCCATGTCCATGCTAATAGGTAAATTTTTCAAATGTAAAATTTCATGCCTTGTCTAATGTCTTGTTAAGAGTCAGTCTATTGCTAGACATCTTGACATCCACGTTGTTCTTTCAAGTTTTCTTAAAAAACAACTGCTATCATTAATTATATTTTGGTCTAAATTGACTTGAATGAAGAATCATCATTTGAAGGCTCGCCATATTACCTACAATTACTGCAATAATATGTTTTATTGATAAGTTTTTATTATCCCTAAATCGAACATTATTAATCAATTGTCCGATTAGTCATTTGTATAATGAGTCTCAATAATGTCACTGGTGATACTAATATATCATATTAAGGAAAAACATATATCATGTATTTAACATACTTGATTATACGAATATTCATTTGGATATCTTGGCCTATACCGTATTCATAGTAGAATGAAATTAAGAAATATTTTTTATTCGTCACGTTAGGGACATTCAAATTATTGTCGGGTTGTAAATTTTAAGAGCGAAATTTTGTGGGTGTAGTGTTGTACTTTGACCATTCTGGCACCAGGTTTTAATCTCATACCCAACCTTCAACCAGGGTTTAATATAATGCGTATGCAATGTCAAATCGGAAAGATTCCAATTCTTCCAAGAAAACAGTAGCTCAGTGTCTGTACATGCATTGCCATAACAAACATAAAAAATGTTCTTAAAAACAATACCACATTGGCTAAATCATTTAAACAAAATGCAAAATGAAAGTAGGATGGGGATGCACCTGTACCTCGTTTCTCTCTTTATTATTTGTTTGTATTGAAATCTAAATCTAAAATCTTGTGTATATCTGAAAATATAAGTACACAAGAATAGATTAAGGTAGTTTCGTACCTCATAAAATTATTTAATATCTCAATTAATTGTAAATAAAGCTCTGTAAATATTCAAATATACCTTTCATTTCAAAAATTATGATACTCCCGTAGTGTGTGTAACCAGGTTAGGGTTAGTTAGGCCATAATTTGATTCTGATTTTCCTTATTTTAGTTCTATTACGAGTTTGGGGACAGTCTGTGATAGCCAAGTGAATATACCCTCTGTCCATAGGCTTCAGTCCCTTTACACAACTTGATGTAACATAGGTGAGAAAAATTAGTTACCTTCATATTGGTATACGTACTTCTGGAGCACCAAAATTATTAAAAAAAAAAAAAAATCGGCCACTCATATAATACGCAAAAATTTCCTGTATTCCCATAACAAACTCGTGGAAAATTGACTTATAACAAACATGTGTTCTAAGTTAAACATGGTCCATGTCAAATATATTTTCAGTATGTATTCAAAATAGTAGATTACTCGGTTTTGGATAGCCCTAGATACCTTATTTTGAATACATTCTGTAGTGATATTTTCAAATAAGTTTTATTTAATATATGCTTGAAGGTAATTTAAATAAAATATGTATATATAGAGGGTTGATTTCTGTATTGCAATGTTTTGTAGTGTAAAAGTTAAAATATATCTTTTCACAGACATCAATATGAATTTAATAGGCCTGTTCGGTCTCAACATCAAATATTTTTTTCAAGCAATCACATTTTATAAATGAACTATTATAAAATAGTCATAAAACGTAGAATTATTATATTCCAAAGAATGTTACGTCGAACATGCTTTTATGCCCTTATTCGAATATTCTATTCATTTTTCACATTCCTGCCCCCAGGCTTGAAAATGTAAAGAGAAAAACACTAATCTCCTAATAAATAATGCTAAAAATATGTGATTTATGCAGAGTACGTAATTTTCATACAAATTTGAATATTCGAGCATAACTTTGACTGTATAATAAAAGATGCAGTTGAAGGTTATAGCACAAAATTTGAAAACTGACCTTTGTAAATTACCACTTGAAATTGTACCGTCAGTGTTCAACTGGAATGAAGGATTGTTGAAATGAATAATTCAACATCACACGCAATGATATAAATTTTGTATGTTGCAGGTTCACATCGATACGAAAAGTGCCAGCGCTATGTTTGATGTTCTACAAAGAAAACTCAGTCATACGGAAGCATATCAGAATTTCTTGTCCATGCTTCATCATTGCATATTACTGCCTCGTGAGTTTCTTACGAATAATTCGGTGACATTATATTCTATTCTGTAAGAAAACCAATAGATTGAAACATAGCTATATTCATATGTCCCAAAATTCTCAAATTCAACATTCAAAACGAAATGCGTTGGTTCAAGATGAGGATATTGATAACAGTACCTTCTTACTCATGTTTGCATTGCTAATTGCTATTAGAGGTGCTCTTATTTCAAAATAATTTTATTTGAATTCTCCAAAAAACTAACCTTCCTTCATTATTGATTATCATTTTGTGTTACAAGATGTATTTCTGTATCATCTGCCCTTGTTTTAAATTAACTTCATTTGAATTCTCCAAAAAACATATCTTCCTTCATTGTTGTTTTATCATTTTGTGGTGGAACTTGCAAGATGTATTATTGTATTATCATATGATTGTGTAAAAAAGACATAATAAAAATTTCCATAAATTAAGATTTTGCAACGAAACCGAGAGATATAGAATATTTGAAACCCAAAAAATTTCCATACGACTTAAAATCTAGTGATATAGGTTTAAAACCTTAGAATGCTTTTTTCATTCAGTGAATCGGAATGGATGTCCCCATCATTGGCAATTATTCGATAGATTGTTGCAGCAAATCACTTTACAACAACTTGATGGTTCAGATCCAGATATCACTTATCTTCGAAATTTTAACGTTGAGGAATGCTTGAAAATGTAAGTGATAAATATTGAGGCAGTATTGGGTGGACTCTACTCGAGTCAAGAATAAAGTCATCTTCTCAGAGACTCTGTGTGGCTTTAATCATATCTGTAAAAGACTCGGGTCGGACTTGTTTTATTGCCAGAGAGATATGTCTTTGAGATATATCAAAAAATTCCAGGGAAATATGGTTTACCGCATATGGTAATGCAGTATTGAAAAAAATTGAAAAATTATTAGCATTTGCACTCAAAATAGGAGTGCTGATTGAAATGTTGTCAATATGTGATTGAATTCTATCCTTTTTTCAAAATAACAGTGTTTTCACACAATTTTAAAATCATTGTGTAACCACATGGTGTATCTCGACTTGTGACTCGAAAGCGCAGCGACTCATCTTGACTTGGGACTTGAATTATTTTAAAATTTTCTTCAACACAAACTTTACGCAAGACTTGGGTGGCTCATAACTCAACTTGACTTGAGGGGTAGAGACAAGTATCCAACACTAGGAAGAGGTTTTGATAGCTTGAATCTAAACTTGGTTTCAAGCAGTCCCTGGAGTCTAGTAAAATTGAGTCCCAATTTAATTTTTTGTGTTCAGCCCAATCCATAAATTTCTAGTGTCATGTCTGGTCAGTCTGCCATTTGCAGATTGGATTTGAGTCAGTCGGAAGTTGTATGTTGTACAAACCCATTTAACTAGGGGTCATTGTGGTCCAATCACTCAGGTTATTGTTGTGTAATGGATTTTATTCAACCTATCACGTCAAGTCGTTTCACTAATAATTCACTAATATTGTCATTCGAATCAAGTCATTTTTAAATGTTTCCTAATTGACGCCAGTTATGGGATAAAGAAAAAAGTTTCAAAACTTTTTGGGGATATTAAATTTGTTTTTCTATTCAGCTTATACAATGAAAATGAAATCAAGCAATGGAAGGAAACAGCAGAGAGCATGAAAAAAAGTAAAATAGACTTTCTGTCTGTTAATTCAATTAAAATTATACTGAATTTTTAATTCAAAGAAATCACTACTTAGTTTAGAGTTCTTTGTGATGAAACTACTATTTTGCTTTTCATTCAACAAGATTACAAATTAATATAAGTGGGTTGATATATAAGCATCTCAACTTTTTGACAAATTGTAAACCTTTTGAAACATTGCAGCCACATCAGATACATGTTGTTGGAATTTCCCTATTATATGTATTATACATTCCATGTGCGAGTTTTCTCAGAAGCAAGGTCCCTGTTCCCTGAAAGAAGAAGTTGCGGAAAACCACTGATGTGAATATTCACCTACCGTATAACCTTGCATAAAAGTTGACCCCCCCCCCCCCCCCCCCAAAGCGACGGATTTATAAAATTTGTGTATAAGCCGACCCTACAAATTGTACACTCTTTTATCGTGAGAACTTGGCATGGCTCAGGTTGCAGCTATTGAAATTAAGTTAACATAATGTAATTTCATTATTGCGATCAGAGTTATGCGTGTATAAACCGAATTTTTTAGTGCAATCGGGAGTTTTGCGCGCATAAGTCGACCCTTTAGTTTTGTTTCAACACTATTAAAATCCTATGATGATTATGTAAAATTGTATGAATATGCCTTGTATCTTTCAGAACATGAAGAGATGAAAACTCAACTAGACAGGAAGGAGAGAGAGTGTATTGCAAAAGGACAAGAAAAAGAGGAGGCAATGCAAACACTCAACAAATTGAAATCAAAATTAGAAACTGAAACGAAAGAACATCAATCAACTAAAACTAGATTAGAGGAATTATCTCAGAGAATGGAAGGGTTGCAGCAGACTGTAAGTTTATTTTTAGGTAAAAATAATAAATTAGTTTATGTACAAACTTTATTTAAATTTTGTATTTCAAATTTGGTCATGGTTTTTTAGTTAACTACTATAATTCTTGTAGTTAGTCATTCGTGGTGTATGTGATTTTCAAAGCCAACAAAACCACAGTCAACTAAAACCACAGTTACTACTACTACATGGTCATCCACCTGACTCACAAATGTGATGAGCTTCAATTCAATATTCACCATTTTAACTCTTGGTTGGTAAAAGCTTGTTGTCAAGACTCATTTCGGATAAAACTTGAATAAGTTCAAAATTTTAACTTCAAATCTCTGGGAAATTTATGGATTGACTTCCAATGCTAGGAAATTTGAAACTATGACTTTGATTCAAACAAAGAATCTTGTTGATTTCAAATCAAAGGCAATGGGCGTTCAAATTTGCACAATAATTTAAATTAACATAGGCTTGTCAATTCCTTTTCCAAACGATTCAACATATTTTATGGTTTTCCTGACACATTGAATCACAAAGGAAAGTACAGAAGTAAACCTGATTTGGTTTTGGAAACTCTTTTATCCTACTCGAATAGACTGATCCAGGCTTTTCGAATTACTTTGCAAGAGGTTTCTATTGTTCTACAGACCCATATTGCATGCGTCAATATGATAATATTGGTGCCACATCATTAACTTCAAAATTTAGTCTAGTTCTTTTAGTAATTAGAAAACATTGCTGGTGTTTTACAAGTATTTTCTCATATTTGTAATTAGAGTACATTAGAGTAGTTTTAGGAAGATAATTGATTTGCATGATAGCATGACGGTGTAAAACCCATAACAATCAAAACCGAATATCATTTTTAATCAGGTATTTTCAAAAAAAATTCCCAAATGAAACACATTGGAGTTTGTGATGTTCAATGTAGAGAATTATTTATACAATAAAATTTTAAGATAATTTGTAGAAATTTTTTTATTTTGATAAACCGGTCTGATATGCTGTAGTAAAATTTTTGCATATTTTCAACAGTGTTAAATTTTTTCATTCTAAAAATTTTCTTGTTTTTTTTTATTTTATATTGTGTCATAGTGCATTAAGATAGGTAATCTATTTAAACCAATAGAGAAATATATATCTGGATGTAGTATTGACTAAAATTACAGCATGAGACAAGTGAAATCATCCTAGTCTCAGCTGAATTAAACAATGATGTTAATAATTTTTCATATTTTTGATAATATAAATTTTTTAATATTTGTGTGTGTGTCATGTATATAAGTGCTTGACCTGTTTGTAAAATTGATCATAATCGGTCAGTGATTTTGGCATAACACACTATCATAGCAATCATGGCACTAATCTTAGGGATGTTTCACAAATTGAATTTATATGAAAATGTTCTAACTTCTAAGAATTTTGACAAACCAAAAAAAGATTTATTTTGCTTTTTTGGTTGGGAATTATGAAGGTATAAATGTGAATTTGACGAACCAAATTTTCGGCATATTCAAATATTTTTCATAGATGACAAAATTCACTTTAAATATTAGGAATTGTAATGATTTCCACAAAGCATTCTAGAATTATAATCTTTTAAATATGATTGCGTCTTAGTGATTATATTGATTACATTAGTATCAACGATTTTTTGAAATGACCAAGAAATCGGCTTGTAATAATAAATAGTGGAACTAGTACGCTTGCTCATTGTAGTCAATGATCTTCTGGTGATCTAATATTTATCTTTTTTATATGGGTGTATTTATGCTTTCGCAAAACTTAATTAGCTTTTTTTGTTCCCTTTTTTCTATTATCGTATGTTGCACGGCTTTGCATCATCTGATTTTGCCGCTTCACATTGCTTCGTCGATCAAAAACCCTCTTGGTGAAATCTTACCCTTGTGTCGCAATATTTTCCAAACGACGAAAGCAGGTACCATCCCCAGCAAACGGTGAATATGGCTCTTTGCAAACCTTGGTAAGTCCCGATTTGCTGCTAGCTTCTTCTTTATATAAGTTTTATTGCTTTTTTTACATTGCATGCTTGGTGTGTTTTTATTAGATTTTCTTAGTTGTAGTGACGATAATATGACTGTCATCCTAATATTTCTAATTGATCATACTGGTCATATTATGATCATATGTTTTGGTAACCGTAATATTTTGGTGAGAACAATTTATCATTAGCCTATAACAAATGCACTTCCATCACTTCCACCATTTTTTCTGTTCTAATGATTTCTGACAGTCACAACAATAATAATTCAACTTTTTACCATTGCTAATCGAAGTGAAATTTCAATGGTTTATTTCAGCAAAATGAAATATCAATTTGGATCACTTATTCACACAACTGCATAATACCTGATATTGAAGCAATTTCAAAAATTTAAAAGATCAATAAAATAAGCTAGTAAATTCTCTGTATATGATACCAATTGGCATTTTTAAAGAGTTAGCTTGATCTTCGAAAAATGAGTCGACTCACCTAAAAGTAAAGGACCTTACCAAAATAAGAACCTATGAAATTTTCCTCCGTGAGAAAATTGAACATGATATATATCTTTGCATCTGTTAGAATTTAAGGCTGCAGCCTGCAGGCTTCCTAATGTTAAAATAGGTTTTATTGAATCATAATATATGAAACTCCCATTTTAGTATGTAATCATGCCACAATTCATCAATTAGGATTTGTGTGTTTTTGTATTCTCTGTTCATGTTGTTCTTTTGTGTTGTGTTACACACATTTATTTATTATTGTTTTTGTTTCTTTTTTTTCATTTATTAGATTTTAATGCTTGTTTTCAAGACTATACTATATTTTATATCTCTATTACATAGGCAAATGCTGACAAACTAGAAAAAGAACGTTTGCAACAACTTGTAGCATCTGGAAGTATTTCTGATGATGTCAAAGCGAAAATTGCCGCACAAAGTGTTGCCCCGCCTCCGCCGCCGCCACCACCACCTATGAATGCCCCGCCTCCACCACCCCCACCTCCTATGGCCCCTCCTCCACCAGGTGCACCCCCTCCCCCTGGTTCAGGTCCCAGACAGTCACTTCTACCACCAAAGAAGAAAATTCCCAAACCGTCAAACCCTTTAAAATCATTTAACTGGGCTAAACTTCCCGAAAGCAAGATTGTTGGTACAATTTGGACTGACATTGATGAATCCAGGGTGAGCTGTGTTACTTTTGTGCTTCATATTTTTGTATTATGACAATTTTGCATTGCCGATTGTTTCAGACATACAATTGTGATGTATGTGTTGTCGTTAAAGCAGAGTTGAAAAAAAAATTTGGTTTTGTCAGGATAACTCTTCACATGCTTCTAACTTTATTTGGGCTTCAGATTATATCCATTTTGACAATTTTCTGTCTCAATCAACTCATAACTTCTAAAGTTATGCCTCATGATTGGAATAAATTTCGAGAAATAGTGGGTTTTACGATGAACTAATGGTTAGGACATTCGACCTAACTATGTTGGTTGGCATTGTGTGTCTAAACCCCATGCCCACCATGGGTATAATAAATTGAGTTTCGAAAATAATAGCTCATATCAGGTACTGCTTGTAGAAGGTCTTGTTCGAAGTGAAAGGGCTTTATTCAAAGGAAAAAAACATCAGTAGCTGCTGGTTTCCAAGCGGATGCTTTGAAGAGCCTTTCACTCTTATTCAATTCATTCATAATAAATGTTTCAAACAAATTCGTTAATATCCAATTAGTAGGCCTATCAACCTTGTGCAAACGTCTTCAATCAAATCACAACTGACTAAAATATACAAGAGGCCTGAAAATGGGGATGAATAGTTTGTCTCACAACCTGCATTTCATCAAATTACGTACTACGAATTGTTATACATTTCATGTTACTGAAATTTCATGTTAATAACATTATTGTATATTGGACAACAAACATATCTTACTTAGAACAGGGATGACCATTCCGATCATTATTTCAAGCATCCTAATATCTAACCTATATGGACTCAAGTTATTTGAAATTTTTCCAGGCTTTCAAGTGGCTTGACTTACCCAACCTTGAAAACACTTTCTCAGCATATCAGAGGCAGCAGGTACTGTATTGAATATTTATTTGATTTCTGGTGATATTTTCTAACAAGATTATACAATCAACAATAAAACTCATAATTTATAAACACTGACATTTTTGAAATCTTCTAATACGTGATTTGCATGCATGTTGAATAAATTGTGCATCAAATATTTCGATATCGCCAGATTTATGTATTTTTTATACTATTACATTGGTAATCGGTGTGGTAGTGGTGTGGGAATTGTAATACAAACTACTTGACATTCAAACATAACCATATTCCTTAAATTATTCATCATTTCAGATCTGATGAGATATAATTGACTGTTGTATATATTTTAGAATTGCGTAGTAAATCAGCAACATAATATGGTTTTTCCTTTGTGTATATAAGTATGTATAGGTTTGCAGAGAGAAATTAGAAATATAGAATTCTTTGGAATTTGAGACTTTAATGCCGGTAACGAGGTGAAATTCAAACATGCTCAACATGCAATTAAAGAAATCTTGCAGATGCCTAAATTTTTTGGCCCAAAGCTTGACTTTTTCTGGAGTTAAAAGATGGAGTGGAATCGATGCTAAAGTGAAAGGCAAAATTGTTATCAGCCAAAGTTGGTTTATAGAGGGCCGGAGAATTACTAGCTTTGCATTTTCTATCAACTGAACCGTCAATGCATGTATTTTTACTGTATAATTAATCATATAACAAGCAACAATTTTTCACTTGCATGTATAACTGTCTATCTCTCTCTCTCTCTGTCTTGGCATGGGAACAGGATTTGCATTCTAGTAAGGTGAGTTCATTAGTCTTTTATATTTATATATCATATTCAAATTAGGGTGAAATAGACGTCATTTTGATTAATAAACAATCATGGTTGTTCTGATACATTACCTGGGACACAAAAAAGCTGATAAGAGAAAAACTGCCATTCCATTTTAGAAAATGTTATGAATATCGTCATTTAACCTAATCTAGGATAATTGTAGTTCCATTGGTTATGGGCACCTGTATCATTTTGGAATGCTTACTATTATCATTATATTATTTAATGCTTTCAAACTGGCATGCAAAAGCCTAAAAGATGTCCTAGCAAATATTAATAATACAAACTAGCATTATTTCACATGCAAACTTATACTATAATTAATGTTCCACTCAACTCAACATCCAGTATTGCCTCTGAACGCTTATTTTTCAATATTAAATTGCCAGCTTTGTTCATTATAATGATCAATTTCTGGACACCAGGAATACTAATCCTATTACCTGCATTTAAAATAATATATATTCATGAGTGTTGCATTTTAAAATTATAAATGCATCTTAGACACTGTAAAATACTTATTATATTATTAATTGGTCATGAGCTAACAATAACAGATATCGTTTTCAAATTTGGTTTTCAATATATCATTGAATATTTTAACATTCCTGGGACAGTATATTAATATGAGCACTATTATAGATTATACCTGTTTTTTTTAGTTTTTGATATCTCCCAATATCAATAGTCAGATATTTTTGAAGAAGTATATTGTATCACATTATTGTATGATATTGTCATTAATTTGTCAAATTCATTCATATCTAAGTCAAGGTTCATATCTAATTCCATAATTCTATAATTAAACATGGAAATTCATTCACTTTTTTCAAAACAATTTTCAAAGCGATATTTGAAATATCTCCAAATCCCTTCATAATTCAAAAATTAAATCTATGATGATCAAGTTCTGATATTGTCAAAATGTAGATGTTGCCGACATCCCATTACTGTTAGAAAAGGTTGTCAACTTTAAACAGTATTTTATGATAAATTTTTGCTTCCACTATGCATGAATAATATGGTGGTGTACTAACTTGAATTGTATATTTTTTTCTGCTTCCCATATTTGAAGGAATCTATTCTTGCTCCTATAAATAAGGTATTGAACACATTTTGCTTGTTACTAAAATTACATGGTGGGAGGAATGCCAAAAACAAAACAAATATTTGAGTAAATTCAAATTTAGTTGTATTCGATTTCATAAAATTCTTTATTTTTCTCATTTGACAGTTGATGGTCCAACTAGAAATAGACTTTATTTAATTCTGAAACTGAAAAAATAGAAAATCATTTAAAACAATGTTTGCATTACTAAATTCATTTTCTGTGAATTTACAATTTTGCTAATCGATTTTGCTAGTTTCTCCGTTGAGTATGATTCGATTCAGAATATCTTCAACATTCAAATATGTCATTTTACAATGTATTCAGAATAGTGAATGATTCAATTTTGGTCATCTCTGCCTAGTTGTTACAGTATTTTGTTTATAATTGAAGTGGTTTTCAATTTTCATTACACATCTTTAGAAATATGGATCTCAAGAAGATTTGTCAACTAAGAAGGTAAAAGAGTTATCTGTTATTGATGGACGAAGAGCGCAAAACTGTACGATTTTATTATCAAAGCTAAAATTGAGTGATGAAGAAATAAAGACAGCTGTCTTAACCTGCGACAAGGTGACAAATTATTATTTTCTATATTATTAAAGCAGAACAATCTTCTGTAATCTAGTGGATTCGGGCCTTTGGTTATGTATCAGTATCACTGCATGGCAATAATGGTAGGCTGGAAACTTTTTGGTTAATCATACTATACTATCAAAAGGGCTTGATCCAATGATATTTAATATGGCTAGCATAGCTAGGCCACAAACTTATCACTCTTCCACATAAAACGACACCAACAAGTAGACCTTGGGCAGCATGATTTTATAGTGCAGTGTTTCCCAACTGGGGGCCTGTGGTCTCCCAACGGGGTCATAAAGCAGTTACAAAAAAATTTTTTTTTTTGCAGGCTGGTGATTTACCAAAAGATATGCTTGAACAAATGATCAAGTTTATTCCAACGAAAGAAGAAATCGATATGTTGAGTGAACATTCATCAGAAATTGATAGAATGGCTCGAGCTGATAAATTTTTATTTGAAATGACAAGGTTAGGTTTGTTCTTATAAGATTGAAATATTGAGTGGTCAGAAAGGAATTCACATTGTTTAAACCAGCGTTTCTCAAACTGTGTTCCTGTGAACACTGCTGTTCTGCAGGCTTCTTCGGAGTGTTCCACAGAACAGTGATCAAAATTGTGACTAAATTGGCCGGAATGAAATTGAAATTTATAACTACTGTCACTATTGTGTGTTTATTATTTTCAGAGTACATAATTATGAGCAAAGATTACAAGGCTTATTTTACAAAAAGAAATTTAACGAAAGAATTTCTGAAACCAAGCCGAAAGTTGAAGGTAAATGTATCTGATACTTTTTGACAAGTTTTTTTTTCTCAACCAGGACTGTACATGCCAGCGGTATTCTATTTGTGGATTTATGATTGATTGATCTAAGGTCGATTGAAGGTTATACATATCCAAAATTAGAATCCTGTTTTGGACGCCGTCAGTTTTGACATATTTCAAAATATGTTTTATGGCGGATATATATATATTCGTAATAATTCATTTCAAGTTTGAATAAGAGTTTTGGAAATATAATTGGATTGATGCATTTTGTTATAAAAGGGTAATTATTAAGTGAATTTACTGGAAAGTAATGATATTTATTTATATATATGTGCTTTTCTCTATGTTATAGTTAATATGCCCAGCAAATGTGGATGAAAATATTCACATGTGCAATTATTAGTGTATGTGAACTACTTAAAATTTAATCAATTTTTGTATCTAGCTGTCCTGGATGCTTCTAGAGAAATTCACAACAGCAAAAAATTACGCAAGCTTTTGGAAATTATTCTTGCTTTCGGTAATTACATGAATAAAGGAAACAGAGGAAATGCATACGGATTCAAATTGATGAGTTTAAATAAAATTGCTGATACAAAGTCAAGTTCAGATAGGTGAGATGTTTTTTGTTTTGTTTTACCAAATAATTTTCAATATATTTATATTTCACCTTTCATACCCCATGCTATGGTGGCCCATTGTTGTCACACATAAAATTTAAAAAAAAAAATTGAAAAACGAAATGAAAAATTTAAAAAATAAAAAACGGTTTAAAAAATAATAAAAAAAATTTAAAAAAAACGATTGAAATAAAAATAAAAAGGCGTTTTTATTTGTAAAAATGTTGCTTCTGCTTGGGACCAACGTTTTCTTGCATAATCCTACATGCACAAGCGGTGTTCCTGGGTTTCTAATTCACTGCTAATTTTCTTGGGTGCAACAAGTTTAATTTATAAATGATATATAAATTCACTTTACTACAAGTATTGTAATCATCATGATGATAACAAGAGACTATAAAATCGAATACGAAAATTTGTTTTATGTGTAGAAGGTAATTAAAATAGAGAATACTGCTGCTAGAGAATAGAGAATGCCGAAAAGTTATGCTGTAAATGAATGACACAAAGACTAGGTACAATTGTAGGGTTTTGAATATTAATTTCTCTGCGTGAAAATAACTATTCTTTTTTTTTTGATCAATCAGAAACATAACATTGATGCATTTTCTACTTGAAATGTTGACGAAACACTGCCCGGATATTGTTGATCTACCTTCTGACCTTTCTCATGTGGAAGCTGCTGCTCGTGTCAGGTAAGATGAATAATGATAATTTTGAAAATAGAAAAACCATTGAATGTGCTATGTAGCTAAAATTGTTGTTTTTGTGAGGCCCTATACAACTGACGTTTGAAATTAGGCTCTGACACTGAAAAAGGTTGAGAACCACTGTTATAGATAATATGAAGCTTGATTGGCATGGGCACCTTTTCCATCCTGATTGTATAAGGTTTGACTCGACAACTTCAATCTGTGTTGCCGAGTCGTCAGCACAGTTAGCCTTATCACGTTGTAAGTTACATGGAAGACGTTTCGTATACAGAAAATGCAATTTTGAACAGAATCATACTGGTGTCAATTGATATTGATTATATCTGACCTTAAATTATCAGACTTCATACCGGTGAATCCATTCGCACAAATCACAATTCACACCTACTTATGCAAAAGCCAGTTATGGAGTTAAATTTTATGAACTGATTTTCAAGTAGCGCAAAGTTCATTCAGGGGCACATCTTCCTCTGTTTTATTCAAGATCATCACTATGATTGTTGATATGTTTTCGCCAACTGACTTGAGCTATTTTCTGCATTTACAGTTTCTCAGATGTGGACAAAGAAATTGGAATCATAAGACTTGGGCTTAATAACTTGAAGAAAGAACTTGATGTTCAACAGAAACGACTTACCAGTGGCCAATGTCATCCGGAAGATAAATTTGTTCCAGTTATGACAGACTTTGTAACAGTTGCGGACTTGGGTTTTATGGAAGTTGAAGAACTAATGAAAGATGCAAAAAATAAAGTAATTTGTCCAAGTTGAATCCTAAAACTGAATCTAATTGAGTGAAAAATGTTTGGTTTGTGGTATTACCCCACCGCTTTGAAACGAGATATTTTATTGTAACTTATCATTGCTTTGTGATAATTGTGTCATTACGAACTACTGGTAGTTATTATCTGTTTACATGTTTGTTTGAGGGCTTCCTAGGCAAACGATAGTTTGTTAAGTTTGGTAAGCATTTTGCTATCAAAATGTAAAATTGAATATATTGGGACATCAGTATGAAAGTGGACCGACAACTGAAAAAATTTAGTCTAGATGGCAATTAAACTTCTCTCTCAGTCAGGGTCAGCCCCCCCTAAGACGGTAATACGGTCCAACTTGACAGATAAAAATTTCAGAACCGACCTTGAAAATTCCTGGCTACGACCCTGGTCAGTGTTATAACTTATAAGAGGACTATTGCTTAGCATGTGGGTATTTGTACTTTGGGGTGACAAACTTTCATACTCATTTATTACTGTATCCATCAAATTAAATTTATGTCTTTTTCAGCAGGCTATGATTGTGTTGGTTAAATTTATCAACAGAGCTGAAAAGTGATTTTAATTCAAGCTCAGCACTCTTTTACTAGGTTTCAACCATCTGTTTTTTTCACTATTTTGTTGATATTACTTGAAGCTCTGTTGAAATCTTGAATATCTGAAATAAAAACACTTTGTTTGATGTAACTTTTTGTTTCACAGTTTGAACAAGTTGTTATATTATTTGGTGAAGATAGCAAAAGTCAACCTGATGGTTTCTTCGGACTTTTTATCGAGTTCATGGAAACGTTTAATTCTGCAAAGAGAGACAATGAAATGATGAGAAAGAAGAAATTGGAAGAAGAGAAAAGAAAGAAGGCTGATAATGAGGTGAGGTTTCGAGTTTTGAAAATCAAATATTAACATAAAAATTGGTAAATATGGAGTTAGAATAAAGCAATTCAAAAAAGGATGGAACCTTATTCACTTAGATATATGTCAATCAGGTTGATCCTAAAGTATCGACTAGATTCTTCTTATTCTTTATATGTATTCTACCAGTGGTTCCCAAAGTTGATTGACCATGGAGTCTGGGACTAAATTTAGAAGCGGAAAGGTATTCACAGGCCAGAAAATGGGTGGCACCTCAGTGGCGTATCAGTATAATTGAATTGTTACGAATATACACATGCTTAAACTGTGATAATATGTAACAATTGGCAGTATCTAGAACGTAAAAAAGTAATAACTAGAAGTGTTACTGTTTCCTTTGAGTTCGACGAGCCTTATTAAATCGTTACGGGGGCCGTGGTTTTGGAACCACTGTATTATACAGTGTGTTTGTGTAGGATTGTACTCAACAGTTTCAGTTACCCAGGGGTCAGGACGCTTGCACAAAATTATTGTTCTCTTCAAAATATGTTCGAAATGATCTTGGTTTTGTTTTTGGGAGGTAGAAATTTCGAATGACTATATTATTTGGTGTTTCCCAACTCTTCCGAATGAAATCTTAACTTGTGGAAACAGATAGTATATATACACAACCTCTCAAGCATGGTACCATTTGTATTGGTGTTTCTTGGTTAATTGCAGTTCTTCATAACCAGTTTGTGCAATTTTTTGGTCGCCATAAATTGACTTCTAACATACCAGCACAAAGAAATTACAATTTTATTTACCTGTATCTACATCTTCAATCTAAATCTTCTGTCTATATTCCACAGCGAGAAATGGACAGGCAAAAACGTAGGGCCACATCAAAGAAAAAGGGTGGAGACCAAGGAGAATTTGACGATTTGGTATCTGCACTAAGATCCGGTGAAGTCTTTGAGAAAGATGTCAATAAGTTACAAAAACGTAACAGGCAACGAAGAACAAATAATTCAACGAATTCTTTTGACGCAAGAGAAAGGAACGTCTCTAAAGTTTTAGGTTAATGTGAGTGCGACAGCTCTTGTTTTCCACCATTGGGTATCGTTGAAAAATCGTATTTACCATGTCAGTTGGCAAACTGGAACTTTAGTTTTTCGAATAATGCGATATAACTAGGTCACCATCACCACACACTTCTCATATATGTAAATTTCAAATAGTCTATAAGGATAGTTGAAATAAAGTACTCATAGGCACTGCTCGACATACAACTCGAGATAGAAGTTTAGTTTTATTTGCTAATGAAGTTATTATAAATTCACACTTTCAACAAATTTATACAAAAGTGTTAACACTTCCTTAATGAATTCAGCAAATCATCTCCAGCTCAACAACAATTCTAATTTGGTGTCCCAGGAAATATAATTTTCATGTTTTTATGGTTGCAGACTGATTAAGGAATGGAAAAGTCTAATTTTGCAATGCAGCAAATGAGTGTTGAATATTTGATGAATTTAAGCTTTTAAAATACGGCGATAGCTTTTATTTTAATGACTAACAGGGTTTGGGTGTATCTAATAGTTTTACTTTGAATGTGTTATGAATTTTTTTTTATCAAAATTTCGAACGGAATATGGTTTCCAAAAAAAGTGATTTTTAACAGTCAGATAAGTTGAATTTGTTTTTATCTGTAAAATTGATTCTGTTACAGCAATTTTCATTTGATTTTTTATTTCAACATATTTGATGTTTATGTTTTGGCTTGAAAATAACCTTGGGATATCAATAGCTATTTGGATAAGGACATACCTGGTATTCATATAAGACTGCAAAGTATTGCAAAAGTTACTTTTTTATAATTATATATATTATATAGCACTATTGAACGTACATTTATGTGACTAACTGTGTTAATAAATGATAGTATGTTTTATTACTATTTACCAGGTTGAATAAAACATATTTTACACATATATTTTACTGCAAAACTTTTTAGTTTTTTTTTTTTTCCCTAGCGCCATATCTCTTTATCACTTATTAATTAACCCTTTTGTTACTGATAAACAGCATCTTGTGGATTCTGTAACAGTCTTTACCTATGTTTAATTGTTATCATCTCCAGCAATTGTTTATATTGGTATTATTACTTCAAAACAGCATGGACTAAAGCAAATGAGGTTATTGTAGCAAGAAAATTGTTGTGTATATAAATGGTCACGCTTAGTTTAATAATCATATTACCCCTGCACCTTGGAAATCATGTTTTAACTCATATCTTCCTTGAGCTATTGGGTACCTTAACTATTTTTCATGAGGCAAGGTTACTTATGTCCATTTTTAATTCAAAAATAATTTCATATATGGCTTTTATTTGATCACCTAAAGAACATTTTGCGAAAGTTCCTTGAATATTGTGCATAATTGGAAAATATCTCTTTTTGTTAAATTTCTGTTTTTAATCTAATTTATAGATTGAATCTGGCTGACTTTATCCTAATCTTGTATGGCACATGTGGGTGAGCATAAAAACATAGAAAAAAGATTAAGTAGTTAGTCCCGCAGAAACCAATGATAACCCCTTAAAGACTTCTGGGATCTTTACATTACTAGACTCAAATTCAACAAAAACTGTATGTTAGGTATTAAAAAGTATGTTAATGTATTCATTTAGGTGCGCTTTTATTTAACAATCCAGTAAGTGAAAGAAAATTCCTAAAAGTCAAATATAAATTGATTGTATTGTTTGGTTCATAAATTTTTACCGAAAGCTGAAATTGATAATCTGAATTTTCTGTTTAGCAATGTGAGAGCTTTCCCTAACATGCTTTCTGAACTCACAATGATATTCCTTAGACATAAAATAGATATTGCTTCATTATTCTTCCAGGCATCATGTTTAAATATCCAAACATAGTGTTAGATACCTTGACTGTATAATAGAAAACCTTAATTCACTAATTTGGTATAGATATTTTTTTTTATATTTTTTGTGCCAAATAACTTTTATGGCACTATTTTATCCTCTAAAACCCTTTTGCTAAATCATATTTTTGTTGTGTGTTGTTTGCTCTTAAATAAATGACTTGGTACTCGGTCTCATAGCTGTGCGGAGATGCAGTTTGGTTAAGGGGGTTCCTCAAATCAGTTTGACATCTAGACTATTGTGTTCCCAAGTTCTATCCTTGTTTATACTTAACGTAAATGTTTCGTTTTGTGATAAAAAGTGCGATTTTTCGAGTTATTAATAACTTGATATGAATTTTTAACTAAAATATATACTTTAAGGTTCCAAAGTGTTTTTGAGTTATTTATTATAAGAAAACTGTGAAGGGCAAATATGGAGTGTATTAGATTCACCAGCATGACAACGAGTGATATTGTGTTGAGTAGGCACCAGGGGTGTGCATGGTGCAGCCAGTCACCTACAGGCTGCACGTTATATCTGAAAAATAGTGGCTCAGATAATATATTATTACATGTGCCGGTATATTCACAAGAAGGGGTCATGCAATGGCTATTATATCTGAGAATCCCACGCTCCCACGTAGAAGAGAAAGAAATCAGTAGCTGGGAAATAAATACTGAGAGATGCTAGCAACGAGTGAGTGTGCAATGGCAAGCCAGAATTTATAACAGGACACTTCTTGTTCCCCAGTTCCGACAGGCAGATTAGCAGAACGGATGTACAATAATAATACGTTTTGTTTGGGAAGTAGGCCTAGTGCATCCAGTCGCTCTTTTAGATGAAGACTATTGCCACAGGTTGGAAACTACTCAATTCATTAGACAGCGGTAAATATAGCAATTCTTCAAAACCGATATTGCTAGTCAACTTGCTACTCATCTCTCTTGACTTTCTACCAGTGACAAGAAATAACAACAACACCAATAAAGAGTTCGACGTCACAGTTTTATTCTGAAGTTCTACAGAGCTAAACGTATAAATAAAGCCATTCGCAAAAGGCGGTTATTTTTATGTATAAAATATATATATTTATATATGGTAAAAAATGACAGAGGTCTTGGAATTGGTGAATTCTTTACAAAAAATATATCGGAAAAACTAATAAGTGTAATACAAAAAATTGTTCAAAAAAAATTGCGCAATCCCAATAACCAAAGGGATGGTTCAGGAAATTTTAGATGAATATGGATAAACCCACTAAACTGTTTATGATCATAGAAGCCTGCATCGGTTTCAACATCTGAAAAACTAATAGTTTTCAGACTGACCGACTGTACCTGATATCTGATGATCATAAATAATGAAGAGCAAAGGCACAAACCAAGACCCTTGCGTCACACACTTTGTTGACCAGTTAACCAAGAATATTATAACAAACAGTTCAGAATATTCAAAGTGGAATTTACAAAAAAAAACGACACTAGTATATCAAACTAATCAGATGCAAACAGATCAGAAGAATTAAATAGGAAAATAATTAGTTCGCAAATTGTTTCAGAGGATTTCTGTAGGTTGTCAACAAGGTATATAAACCAGTTGGCAGTGCTTTTCACAGCATGGAGTCCACATAGTGACAAAGTGGCTCTCAATATATATATCAGATAAGAAAATATAGCCACATTGATGTCAATCAGATATTATATCTAAGTACTATTAGAATTTGTGCTGACCAAAGCTTAGTATTTGAGTGAGATGCAACACATCTGTACTTGTATTGAATATTCAACATGAATAAATCATTCTGTAAGTATACATAAAGTGGAACATAGCCTGTGTTTTGTATTTTCCATATCAGTGATAGACGTGTCTGTTTATAGAAGGTAGTTGATAATGTCCATACATACTTTTTGTTGTAACATCAGTAGCCTGCAACAAAAAAACAATTAAATTTACATGTTAAGATGGTATGCTGATTACTGTCTATTACTGACATGAGCAAACTACAACCGGCAGGCCAAATCCAGCCCGTTGGGTAATTCAATCTGGCCCGCCTAATGCTACCACAGCCCACCCACAACCAAACTAAAACCAAATCCGGCCCGTTGGGTAATTCCATCTGACCCGCCTGATGCTTTCACACCAAACTAATATCAAATTTTGATGTTTTAGCTGTAAAATAGCTTAAGGAATTTGTTGAGATTTGCAGGTTATATATGTTTTCCACTTTGAATTTTGTTAACACTTCTATTCATAATATGTAACTTTTTATGTAACACTTAAATGGCCAGCCAGTCTAGGTGGGCAAGTTTTTTGGCCCCTGATTCAAAATCTCGCCCACCCTTGGTCTATCAGCAGGCTAATATCTAGATTGCTTCTCTTCTGCCCCTTATATATGTAGCGCATCTGTAAATTAATCTGTTCTTGCATGAAGCTTTATGTTGAAACACATTTGAAATATAACAAATGATAAATATTTACACCACAAGTCTACTTCAATTCCAGTATAATATTTACCAAATATTTAGCAAGTGTATGAGCAGACTCAGGCCATTAGAATTCATAAACACAAGACTTACCTTTACCTTATGTTTTGATAAATGTTTGGCACCCAACATGTTTGGTTTAAGTATTCCTGGTAGGAGAGTGGCGCCTTGTTGATGACTGTGGTGGAGTGGAACCTGGATAAAATAATGATTGACATTAGTATATATGATTGGAAACTGTCACAGATAAATAAGGTTAAGATGAGGCAGGTTAGTAAGATAAAAATTAGAAAAACTTATTTCAACCTGGGATTTTCAAGGAAAAAAGATCATTAAGATACAAACAATATGAAAAGGAGAAAAGCAAAATGTATGATATATATCTCCAAAGTTTCAAAAGAATTAGATACATAAGAGTTGCTGCATAATAAAACAGCTACAGTCATAATTTCAATTTTGCAGTTATTTTTCGGGGCTCCCGAAGTATGCGAACCAAGATGGCGGACATCGGAATGTAATATGTGTACTAGGTTAGGATTAGGCCATAATTTTAGGTATAAATACTACGGGAGGCTCTTGGCTAGTCTTCGAACTGATAATAGGACTAAAAGAAGGAAAATTGGGAAAAAATTATCGCCTAACCCTAACCTGTTACCCATGTTACGTTCCGATGTCCGCCATCTTGGTTCGCATACTTCGGGAGCACCTATTTTTCTCTAATAAAATGTTCAGCACAGGCTTCGTAATTTAAAAGGTTTATTACATTTGGCATCAATACTCTTAACTATAAAATATACCTTTGCTAGGGTTGTGGATGGAAAAGGTGGTTTCGAAGATGTTGTGGTAAACGCTGATGGACCATGTATAGCAGTACCATTCAATGGTACAATCTGAGGCAGTGCACCTGTTCCACCATGATTTCCAACTCCACCGATCGCTTGATGTCCACGAGCATGATGCTGTTCCAGTCGGCGCTGTCGCCTCTGTAAAAAGTTGAATTATAAAGAATTTCAAACAGTGGCAAGATCAGCCAGCATCGGACATAATCTTCAAACACATTGTGTATTTACAATGGTGTACCAGGTTAGGGTTAGGCATTATGTTATTCAGATTTCCCTTATTTTACTTCTATTTCGAGTTTGGGGACTGTGTGTGTTAGCTAAGTGAATATACCCCCTGCCCATAGGTTTCAGTCCATTTACACAACTGGATGAAAAATAGGCAAACAAAATTAGTTACCTCCATATTGGTACACAAACTTCTGGAGCGCCAATTAAACTTTAGACAAAGCAGAGCAAGAGATTCTGATATTTTACTTACTGGTCTACTGTACTCGAGCACCGCATTAGTGTCAAAAATGAATAACATTAATTACTAACCCCAACTAAATGATCCTTGACTTTTCTCTCCAGTTGAGATTTTATTGAACGCTTCTGTACTAGAACTTCAGAACCTTTCTGCTGCAGCGGTTTCAATTTTTTGTTATATTCTGCATTACGGATGACTGGTTTACATACAACATCCTTGTCAACAATTCCTGATGCACAAACTGCTCCCGTAAATTTCTCTTTTTTTCCTTTTCCTTTATCTCTAATAACTGCTGGCTTGAGTATCTTTGAACTAGGAGATTCTGCAAAACTAGTGCTTTTCTGTGGCATCCATAATGGCCTGCTACCTTTTGCAGCTACAATTGGTTTGACGCCGATTGGGCCTTGTAAAAAGTCTAGTAAACTAACTTTTCCTTTTTTTGGTAAGGCTATGTCTTTGCATGATTTATTGGGTTTCATGTTATTTATTCTAATATCTGATGCTAATCCTTCAGCTAATGGTAAATCAAAATTGTCTGATCTCGCTGGCTTCAAATCTTTTTTTGCATTCACAACAGCTTGCTTTGGTAATTTTTCAAGCTTATGATTTTCAAATCCCAGATGATGTCTATCTATGGACTTTCTTCCTGATAATGACTGAATATATAGCAAAAATATATATTGTATATAGAAGTGTGTGTACAAATATGGAGATAACCAATTTTATTCGCCTACTTTACATCAAGTTGTGTAAATGGACGGAAGCCTATGGGCAAGGGGTATATTCACTTGGCTAACACAGACATTCCCCGAACTCGTAATAGAACTAAAATAAGGAAAATCGAAATAAAATTATGGCCTAACTCTAACCTGGTACACACACTACGGGAGTACTTATTTGGACGGATGGAAAAATAAGCAGGCATAATTTAATCGGAGTAGCTTTCAGCAAAAAATCTCACCCTTTTCTTCTGCATCTGATTTTGCTTCCACAATGGGATATCATTGGTGTTTGCTGCGGCGGCAGGTTTATTTGCTACTTCACTAAATCTTGCCGCTTGTTTGGCTTCATGTGCTCGCTTGTCTGCATCTCTGAAAACAATATTCAAATTTGGTATATTAAAATTATATATATGATCGAGAGAGATCATTATTTTTCAATACAGAGTTGGGCATACTTGAAATTTTGAAAATAAAGTAATTATTTGAGTAAAACTTGTGAAAAAGAAGAGAGTAATTAGTTCCCTACCCAAAGAAGAATGAAGTTTCGAGGATTAAAGTAGGTAATAAAAAATAGCTTTGATTTGCATGCACCAGTGTGCAGAAACCAAAGCTGTAAAGTTGCAGCCAAAAGTCATATATTGATGTTTTTTCGCAGGTGTTCAGATGGAAGCCAATCTGAATTTTCCAAAGTTTTGAAAGTCAGGTCAAATTGGGAATTTTTCAATGAATTCAGAAACTTTCAAATTTTATAATTTGCTTAATAGAATAAGTATCTTAAATGACTTATTTCTCCACTACTACATTGCGTTGCGGAAACGCTAGTTGAAGCAATTAAATCCAACCTTAAATCCCTGAAGTATGAATGTCGAAGAGCTTGTTTAGCTGTTATTCTTTCATCAGGATCATACGTACACATTTTATATATAAGTTCTATGCTTTGTTGTGATGCATGTGGCAGTAACTTCTCTATTCCTGTTCCTTTCTTTGTAGGAAAATCAAAATTAATTCCACGATTTCGACTGAAAATGTAAGGGATATGCATTGTAACATCTTTTAATTACAAAAGATGTTCCTTCCCTCTTTCGATTTCACAATTTCAATAATTTTTTTTTACAAAGCATGTTTTTTATACAAATTATCAATAATAGTACAAAATAATAATACCAACCATAGTAATATTATCCCAGTCTAAGGTATTCAATATAGAGAAAAAACTCGGTATTGATCTTCTTATTCCATGTACTTACTGTTTCATTTTATTAAGTATAGAGGCATCTGGTGTGCCCAAAACATCATGAATTTTCGCAATTTGGTCGACTTCATTTGCCCCAGGAAACAGTGGATGCAGACTGAATGCAAATAGTTTTCATTTAATTGTTACTGAGGTTTATTTAAAATAGAACGAAAACAGACCGATGCATAACAGGATAAGGGATATATACCTCATGACTTCAAAGAATACACATCCTACACTCCACAAGTCCATTCTGTATGTATAGTACCCATCTGTTAATAAGCATTCGGGTGCTCTGTACCATCTTGTACTGATGTACTCTGTATATGGTTGTTTGCTATATACACTTCGACACGAACCAAAATCAGCCAACTTCAATAAATCATCCTGAAATAACCAAAGTACCATTTTCCTACAGTGCATTCAATGGTGAGAAGAAATGAGAAGTATTTCAATTTCGTTTCGTTAGGCTTTGAAACATACCTTTACTAAAATATTTTCTGGTTTGACATCTCGGTGAAATATTCCGCATCTGTTATTAAAAATATGATTTTAGATAGTCATTATCATTGGCAGAACAAATAATTGTTCATTCAGATAAGAAATGAAAGTTACAAGCAGCAACTAATAAGTCATGATCGTGACAAGACCTATTTTAAATACATAGTAATGTAGCCTACCCATATTATGGTACTCCCATAGTGTGTGTACCAGGTTAGGCCATAATTTGATTCTAGATTTTCCTCATTTTAATTCTATTACGAGTTCGGGGACTGTCTGTGTTCGCCAAGTTAATATAACCCTGCCCATAGGTTTCAGTCCCTTTATACAACTCGACGTAAAGAAGGCAACAAAATTAGTTACCTTCATATTGGTACACACACTTCTGAAGCGCCCATATTATTATACACAAAATATATTGCGCCATGACAAATATTAATAATGAAAATTTTTTTAACTTATATCAGCATGAGCAAAAAATCAGACCTGTGCATGTGATCCAATGATTTCAACAATTGATACATATAACTTTTCACTTTAGATTCTTGTAAATAATGCCTTCTCCCTATGAACGAGTAAAATTTATACTTTTTTTATAATCTAAAAATTATTTAAGAATTTAAAACGACGGATACAACATTTTTTTTGTTGATTCTGGTGTCATGTATCACATCAACAAAGTCTGTTTTTAATATCTACGACAACCATTGTTCTTATTTGAACAATTCATTGTATGTAGATATTCAAAAAACCATTACATCAAAGGCCATAAGAGAATAATTTACTACCCAGTATACCAAACTAAGTTGTTAAAAATGAAATTAATAACCAACAAAGACATTATCAAATCCCCAAATCGTATATAACTACTGGTAATTTAAAAACAAATTTTGCTTCAGTAAAAATTCAAATTTTTACTGAAGCAAATACTTGAATAATATCAGACAAGTCGAGTTATCTGTAAACTGTTTTTTCCATTTACCAAGATATTAACAATAACAATATTCAATCAGAAATAACCTTTAAAACAATTTAGCTTCAAACAGTATGAAGAGATGATCATTGTAAGAATGTAAAGAAAATCAATGAAAAAGATCATTCTTTAGAATATGATTCGGCATAATATCGTAATTGGGCAATGGTGTCATATATCTTTTGTGTTACACAATACCAGCTGTGTCTTTGGATCGTATCATAATTAATGAGAAATCCAGATACCCAGAGTAGTAGTACATAGCAAAAACTTCAAAGGTTTAAATTTGTGATTCAACTTTGACAATCAAACGATGGCTTTTTGTTGGAATTGTCTATTATCAGAGAAATTGTAAAGTAGTATTTTATATAAAAAGTCATTCAGGACCCTATTAATTCCACGGCAAAATGGCAATTTTGTTTCCTATGTATAAATGCCTCAATTTTCACTTTATTACTAATATCAAGGGTCTACTAGTACTTGAAACAGCTATTATTCATCAGTTTTTAGTGTGATACTAAACTATATTATTCTCGTATTTCAAATGCTTATATTCTAAGAGTCATTGATAAAGCACTTGTCGTGAGTCCTTGTCCACATTCACATACAGTCTCAATCTAAGAGAGACTTCTTTTCTAAGTGATACTCAAAAACAAAATCCACATCCTAGATAAAATATCCTGTATTTAACAAAGTCATATTTATTTATCTTAATGATTCAAAGACATACTGGATATGCACATTACTGAAAGCCTGATTTTATTCACATTCACTCAACAAAGTATAGGTCAGTCATGTATATTTTAGGGTCGTGTGTATCTTCTTATAAATCCTAACAATTAGGGCTGTCCAAAATTGAATATTTTTTTGAATCAAACAGAGTAATCGAATATTATTGCACAATCCTAAATCTGTCTCTATTGTACAATAAAAACGCCCTTATATATTGTGATAATGTATGTGCAGTTACATTTAAAATATTGCTGATATTTTGCAGAGTTATGAAAGGAGATCACATGCCTCTATGAACTAGTCAAAAAGTTTAGAGGTCTCAAAAATTGAGGTTCCGAAAACTGTGACATTGCTAACAATTGCAATTCGGTTGAATTATCATGGTTACAGACTTACAGTACTGGCAATAGACAAAAAACATACTTTGCTTTCATGATTATGAAAATAAAAACTTCTAAACGAAAATGCGAATGACTGTAATAAAAGATTTATATATACTTAATTCAACTTTGATTGCAAAAAAATAGAAACACAGTTTGATTCATTTACCTCGAATTAGTTCATAGATGTTCATATCCATTAATTCACATATTAAGGCCACTGTTCCAGTCTTTTTATCACTACAAAGTTAAAAAAGGTAATCATAAATAATAATTTTGTTAAAAAAGGTAAGCTTCAGTCTTCAGTGTCACAATGAAGTTTTGCCTGCAGTGATAAATATGTAAATATATGAAAGGATAAACTTGGACATTCCACACCTTTGCTTAAAACAAGGCTATACATAAGCAGCCATAATTATGATGTTACATCCTCACATCTTCGAACTTCAAGCAACTCCATATATAAGGAATATTGAAATCTCTTCCTTTTTATATTTCTTTTATATTATATTTGAACATTTTAAATGAATACATTAGGCAAACTGGATATATAACTATCACTCTACCAAATTATTTGAATCATGATTTTGCTATGAATCAAAAAACTATGCAGAGAAATAGCAACCACTTCTACAACCACTTTTACAATCGAACAAATATCTTACAAGATGATTTCATGCAGCTCAATGACATTGGCGTGAGGATTGAGACGTCGCATTGCTTGAATCTCACGTAAGTTGTTCACTTCTTCAACCCTGGATGAGAAAATTTTGGTTTAGTGTTTCAAACACTGGCACTGGCAATTTTAGACTTGTACGTTTGGCTGGCAAGACTGTTATTAAACAGAAATAAATAAGGGTGAAAATGACAAACTAGTTCGGCTACCCAAATGTATGCCTTTCATATTTAGAAATTATTTCTAACACCTTAATTGATCACAGCAAAAAGATCTAGTTTTCTCCACATCACCTACAACTGAGCCTATATCCTGGGCTTTATTTCAAAAGGATTTGAGCTAAATTCGGCATTAATCTTAATAATATATCCAAGATTACAAGCTTTAAAAGTGTCACATCATGGCTACAAAATAGTAACATCACTCCAAATTAAATTATGACCATATTTACCCATTGTAGTGCTGCTTCATTTTTTTGCATGCATAGTATGTTCCATCTTTTATGTGCTGGCATTTTAATACTTCTGAAAACGTTCCTTCACCCTTCTTTCCAAGAATTCGATATTCTATAGAAAAAGTAATCATAAACTAGAAATTTACGATAGAAAATTTAAGAGTACTGATGTCGATATAATGAAATGAAATGAAAAATCCAATGGCTATATTTTAAAGAAACCTAGTAAAAGGTGAAACAGTGAAATCTGTATAACTTTAACTTCTTGTAACTTTTAGGTGATGTTCAACTGCATATCATATTCCAACAGAATTAGTCATTTAAAAAACTCGCGGCAAGAAGTATATTGAAGTGTTGATAAATATTTCTAAATATATTATCAACATAATTCTTTTAACAATTTTAACAATATTACAAGATTAGGGAAACTATTCTTTTCTATTATTGATGGTTTATTTTTTATCACAATATAATACATTAGAAAGTGAATACACAAGCACAATGCTACCATAATGGCATTCTTTGTCATCAATTATTACAAAAATAGTAGTCATTATATTCTATTCTTCAAGTAGTCTTTTGTGTGATAAACTACAATGATAACAAACTCCTTAAAATGAATACAAAGAGAAAATGATTAATCCAAAAAGCCCAAAATTCACACAGTTTTAAAATGAAATTTACAATCCACTCCCACGAAATAAAATTAGAAGATGAAAAACAATGTTCATATAAAATCACTCAAAACTACAGAGTTCATACCATACCTTTACCATACTAACATAATCTATATCATATTTCGTGAGGCAAGCATATTTATTGCTACTTGTTATGCAAGGAATATTACACCTTTTAAAACTTCCTTCAAGCATGAATTAAGAATATACAGAAAAATTGAATTTGCTTGCATACATAGGAAATAAAATTTTATTTATCATTCTGATATGGAATCAACACCAAGACTCATTTGTCTGTTCAACACAACTCATGGCACGATATATATTCCTCTGTTCAAGCTATGATGATGAACAACCAGACCACAAAATACCACATCGGAAGAACGACAATATTTTCCTATCATACACTAGTCTCACAACGGAATAAATAATAGTTAACCAACCAAAGGGTCCATGCTCTCCTTTGCTTTCCCTCACACGACATAACAGATCTTAAAAACGGTCTTAAAAATACTGATTAAATGCAATATTTTCATTACTAACCTTCGGGTATTGTATCAAAATCTGTCCTGACTGGAATGAACATTGTTGTTATTGTTTGATAACACTGCTCTGTTCATCCACATCACATGTTCATTTACATATTTAATACCTCAAAAATGCTCGACTGAATTTATAAATTGACTCAGAACATGTATTTTATTGACCAATTATTTGGCAAAACGATATATAACTACAGCTGAAAAATCGACTGCATTTTATACGGTAATATGACAATAATAGTGAAGCTTTCAAGTTGTCTTGAACTTGAGATTTTTTACTTTCAAATAGAATCAAGTGGGCAGGTGCAACAAACTATAAAATTTTTACAAGACTGAACAATACGATTCTCTAAGAAAAGCTATTATTCTTTAAATATGAACAAGGCCTGGATGGAATTTATACTGTAGCCACAGCCCACATAGTTAACTTTGTACAAATATTAGTATTTATAAAATTTCCTATAGAAGGTGAAAACATTGGTATCTGTGCCTATATAGTTCAATGTAAACAAATACCAATATATTAGTATGCAACAAAAATAAAACAATTCCCAATATCATAAATATTGGTACTATTGTGTTGTTGCCATACCACTCATTTTTTGATTTCTTCATTTCTGTTTATTTTAGCTTAAGCTAAATTAGGTTATTGTGCCACTTCATTTTGGATGAAGGTGTGCCAATAACCTAACTTATTCTCGCCCTAAGATAGTGGTGGAATAATGACAGAGAAAGTACCATTCAATTCATACTGAAATGGGCCACTTGGACTTTACTCATCCTATCCTAACAAACAATAGAATCAAAATAAGTTATGGGGCAAAAGCAAATAATACTCAAACATTGGCACAAATTAGTTGCTAAAGGAAAAAAGAAGATTACCACTGCATACATTGTTATTAGTTTATTAACAATCGGTTGAAAGTAGATTGAACACCAAACACAACAGTTCCACACATAACAGGACTCACTGTGCATGGTGAAATGAAGACAGCAAGAACCCAAATGTGCATACCGATACCTCCAACATAAACAAGTAACCGATAAATTATCTACAATAATATAATTCTGAATAATACATGAAGATGGAAGCATTGTGATAAAATGTGACATTAAAAATGGTAAGGTAGAACAAGTGACTGATGCATACTTCTCTATTAATGCCAATTATTCAATATTGCCAAAATTTCCCAGCTTAACATGACTGCAGATTCTATAACTGATTGCAACTTTGGGCTTCATATAGGTATTACTGTATTATTGTTACTTGATTCCTATATACTGATATATTCTGGTATCTAACTAGAATTGAAAGACATATATGAGTGAAATCAGTTACATATTTATCTTTTATGTCAACATCCTCATTCTGATTTCAACATCGATACATGACTATAACTGTTCTTATCAGAATATTGCTCTGGAAAGCAGGAAAGTGGGAAATATTGTTTCAGCATAGCATGGACATTGATGAAATATGTTCAATGATTTAATATACTGCAATATAATACAAGTTTTTTAATTTATACCATTTGATTTCAAATATACCCAATGCAACATTATCTATGCAGAAACAAAGTTTTTGTAATTATTCATTTTCACAAGCACTAGGAATGAACAATGCTAAAAATACACACAGTGCCATTCAACTTCTGCACTTACATCTAATAGATCTAAATTCCGAAATTACATTTCAAATTCTTTCTTCTTGTGATTTTTTACTACTCATGTCAGTACTATAGCCTACTGCTATGGTGAAGTGTGAATTATTATAAAAGTCAGAAATTTCTAGCAGCATTTCTAAGCTGTGAACTAGTGTGTTGTTGTTGGGTAAGTAATTTCACAGTAGTCTACATTTTTATGATATTTTTTGGGTGAAACTTTTTAATTACTGATTGGTGGACAAAAAGTCAAAATAATAGAGGAAAAAAACTTGTATAACTGTACCGCATCCGCTGGTAACCAGTGGTTACCAGTCAACAGGTAAGGTTAGCCAGCGAATGTTAGAAAGCGGTTCAGGCTACAGTCTCCGTCTCATCAACAACTTGCGAGTGAATAATCAACTCTAAAATCATTACAGGGTGGTTAACCGGCACCTGGTCCTAATAAAACAACTTTGGAAACGACATAACTAAGCTAACATGTCATCGAACGATCGAATTGCAGGCATAGATCAAAGTAAAAATCACAATGTCGCCATCAAGTGAAGAACATCTGACATCACAGTACAGAGATGACTGCCATCGGCATTAGGAGCAAAAGATTTATATGCCTCGGTGTTCCACCTGATTTATCCAAGTTATCTCGCCCAATCTTCTTTTCGATAAGGTAATTTTTTATTTTGAAGACCGACATGGTACTCACAGGGCGGAAACTCAAGATATACAGAATTTCAAGAACTTGCGACACGGACTGGTAGGATTTTACATATTTATCCCGGGGAAATAGAAGCGATAACACGGCTTAATCATATGTCGAACGTCGAACCAAGGCCTCTCATTCGGTTACCGTACCAGTTCATAGAATTAGTTAGCCAGTTATTTGTTTCAGATGGTGACAGCACATTTGAACCTACGTACATTTGAACCCGTACATCTGAACCCGTAATTTGAACCCCGGACAATTGCACCTGTATACTATTGCACCTATGGACATTTGCACCTACGGACATTTGAACCCATACATTTCCACCCATGGATTTTAGCACCCGCATACAGATTGAACCCGCGTACATTTGAACCCGTGTACGTTTGCACCCGCGTACATTTGAACCCATGTACATTTTCACCCGCGGACATTTGAACCCATGTACATTTGAACCCACGAACATTTGCACCCGCGGACATTTGAACCCATGTACATTTGCACCCGCGGACATTTGAACCTACATACATTTACACCCGCGTACTTTTACACCCGCGTACAATTGTACCCACAGACATTTGCACCCATGAACATCTACACCCATGGGCATTTGCATTTACGGATATCAGCGTCTTTACATATACACCCTTATCCTTCCATGCTATATACTATAGTATATAGCAGGGCTACCCAACTGGCGGACCGCGGTCCGAATCCGGACCTTTCGACCATAAAATTTGGACCGCGTTTGCTTGTTTATTTTAGCAGCATAAGCATCGTTTTATAGTTTTAAATGATTTTGATACAATTTAAATACACAGCTGTACAGTTTGTCGTACTGATATCGATGTGCGACATGTGTGTCCATATTTGCGAGCCATTCATTGCTCTTGTATTTAATTCAATATTGAATTTGAAGTTTCGCTTATTTGATGAAATAAATTTTCTGTAATGTCCGGACCCCAGTAATTTTGAAGTTTCGTAAACGGACCTTTGGTGAAAATAGTTGAGTAGCCCTGGTATATAGGATTGGAAGGTACACTTAGGATTCTTTCTCCAAATGCATACGTTGCGAAAACAATCAATATTACCATGGAATTCTCGACTATATACTCGAAGGCTTTATTACAACTATTTTCTATGGTTCCATTACATTTGAACCCACGTACATTTGAACCCATGACAATTGCACCTGTATGCTATTGCACCTATGATATTTTTTTTGTTTCTCGGATAGTTGAACCCATACTAACCCTAACCCATGGGTTTTAGCACCCGCATATAGATTAAACCCGTGGATATACACATGGGTTCAAATGTACGGTCACCATTTTCTATATATTTAAATTATATTATATATTTATATTATACTCCGTCTGTCATTGTCATCGCAGTTGTCGATATCATAAGACTCAATGGACAAAATGTTCCGCTGTAGAATGCGAGCCAAAATTGGGGAGTATGATTTGTGCTTTGAACGGTCGACGACTCTTGAAGAGCGCGAGCAAGGATTTTAATTGATGTGTTAGTTCGATCCCGCGCAAAGTTTTTCCTCGCATCAATGCCCTTTTTCCCTCGCAGACAATTCCAAACTGTTTCTTCAGGACGTTGCAGCAGCGAAGATGACAAGTCCCTTTGCGAAAATAAGTTGGAAACATGGCGCCTACATTTTCCAAGACCACAAGAGGAAACGACTTACTGATTTACAAAGGCCACGAATATTGTAAGCGAAAGGATCGGGTTTCAGATGCTACTCATTGACGCTGCCGTCAGTTTAGGAAATTTCGATGTAAATCGACTGTTGTTACGATCGGTGAAAATGTAATAAAAGAACTAGGATATCACAGTCATTCTGGCGACAGCATTAAGACTGAAGTTGGGATCATCCGTGCAACATTAAAAGAAGCAGCATCAACACCATCAAATACATCGACAAGATATATTTTAGGTGAAGTATTGAATAATAGATCAAGAGATGTACTAATGCGCTTGCCAGGCAAGTCGACTCTGGAGGCCAATATACGCAGAGTAAGGCGACAGAAAAATTGTTCACGTACGAATCCTACAAGTGCAAGCTTTGATATTCCGAGCGAATATTTAGATATCATTTTGCATGACACTGGCCCGTAGGATCGTCATCGGATAATGGCCATTGGAGATCGATCACTACTTGCACATCTAGATAGTGTCACATATCTTGGCGACGGTACATTTGATGTGGTGCCCGGTATTTTCTTCCAGTTGTATACAATTCACTGTAAAGTGGGCGCATCCTATCCACCATGCGTATATTTCCTATTACGAGACAAGCGACAAGAAACATACGTTCAGATGTGGGGAGTGTTGAAAATCATTTTGAAATAGCAGCTATCAATGCATTCCATGCACAATTTCCTCTGGCCGATATTCAAGGATGTTATTTTCACCTGTCACAAGCTAAAATTCGAAAAGTTGGTTCTATCGGATTGAAAGAGAAGTTTGAATGTTTATCCTCTTTCGATCTGAAAATTAGAAGTTTGGCAGCTCTGGCTTTTGTTCCCATTAACGAGGTTGCCGAAGTCTTCACCTTGCTTTGCGACACCTTCGAAGATTCGCCCGAATGCAATCAACTTTTGCAATATTTTGAATCTACCTACATTCGTGGACCTCAAGTGGGTTCACTTCCAAGAGAAGCAAGATTTCCCCCTCGGTTGTGGAACTATGCCAAAGAGATTGAAATGATGCCTTCGGCCCCAAGAACAACAAACGCTGTAGAAAGATTTCACAACGCCTTACAATGAATGTTCCGATGCAAACATCCGAGTATATGGGGTTTGCTGAATGGCCTACGAAAAGACATTGCGGTCTACAAACTGACTGCGGCAAATGCTCATGTAGGAGTTACGGCCCACCAAAGATCAAAGTATGTACAACTTGCTGTTAGGTTGTCAGTTAAAGTTTTTTCATATGGAACTGAAACCGACAAGCTGAGGTAAATCCACTCAATAGCTCAAATGCAGTCTATTTGATTTTGACTTTGATCGTGATATCGTAAAATTTCGTTTATCGTCATTATTTTGATTTGTTGTTTAACTATTGTATCATAATTGATAAATTCCTATTTTGTAAAACGTCCATAGCTACTCTATCTCAAAATTGATCGCCCATTCGACACAAATTTGTGAGTGATAACTTTATTGAGATATTAAAATAAATGTAATCCGTAACCTATGACGTCGTTTGTAAATTGCAATATCATATTTAACAGACCCTATCTGCTGAATATGTTCGATTTACTCTAAGTAGTGTAAACAGCAAAAACCATTTTTGGCCACGATAAAGATTTTAAAACTTCTTCACTTTCGAATATTCAACATATTTACATGACTTACGATTTCTATGTATAGTTTTGTTCTGACATTCTAATGAAACAATACTTCAATAAAACTGGCATTTGGCTATGAACATGTTGTTACAAAAATGACATAGTTTCATTATC